ATACCCAAAATAACGCAGTAAATGGTGATTAAATCAAATGTCAAATGTCAACTATTGAATATTTACAATGAACCTAATTTTCAGAGGCCATGTACAGTAAGTTTTCTTTGCCCAAAATGACTGATGTTTCCACAGAACAGAGAACGCCAGGTGGAATTCACAACTGTGAAGTGTCTTCAGACCTTCACGTGTGATGTAGTGTCAGTTTTATTGGACTTCAGGGTTGAAGGACTCATATGTCCCCATGGCATCCATGGAGTTAAAAGCCTAGATAAATCCCACTCACTGTAACGTTTTCTAGGCTACATAATCACCTGGTTACATCTGTCTCAGGTAACTCTCTGTACACATTTCCTACATAATCACTTGGTTACATTTGTCTCAGGTAACTCTCTGTACACATTTCCTACATTATCACCTGGTTACATCTGTCTCGGGTAACTCTCTGTACACGTTTCCTACATAATCACCCGGTGACATCCGTCTCGGGTAACTCTCTGTACACGTTTCCTACATAATCACCTGGTTACATCCGTCTCGGGTAACTCTCTGTACACATTTCCTACATAATCACCTGGTTACACCCGTATTGGGTAACTCTCTGTACACGTTTCTTACATAATCACCTGGTTACATCCGTCTCGGGTAACTCTCTGTACACGTTTCCTACATAATCACCCGGTTACATCCGTCTCGGGTAACTCTCTGTACACATTTCCTACATAATCACCCGGTTACATCCGTCTCGGGTAACTCTCTGTACACGTTTCCTACATAATCACCTGGTTACATCCGTCTCGGGTAACTCTCTGTACACGTTTCCTACATAATCACCCGGTGACATCCGTCTCGGGTAACTCTCTGTACACATTTCCTACATAATCACCCGGTTACATCCGTCTCGGGTAACTCTCTGTACACGTTTCCTACATAATCACCTGGTTACATCCGTCTCGGGTAACTCTCTGTACACATTTCCTACATAATCACCCAGTTACATCCGTCTCGGGTAACTCTCTGTACACATTTCCTACATAATCACCTGGTTACATTTGTCTCAGGTAACTCTCTGTACACATTTCCTACATAATCACCCGGTTACATCCGTCTCGGGTAACTCTCTGTACACGTTTCCTACATAATCACCTGGTTACATCCGTCTCGGGTAACTTTCTGTACACATTTCCTACATAATCACCCGGTTACATCCGTCTCGGGTAACTCTCTGTACACGTTTCTTACATAATCACCTGGTTACATCCGTCTCGGGTAACTCTCTGTACACGTTTCCTACATAATCACCCGGTGACATCCGTCTCGGGTAACTCTCTGTACACGTCTCCTACATAATCACCCGGTGACATCCGTCTCGGGTAACTCTCTGTACACATTTCCTACATAATCACCCGGTGACATCCGTCTCGGGTAACTCTCTGTACACATTTCCTACATAATCACCCGGTTACATCCGTCTCGGGTAACTCTCTGTACACATTTCCTACATAATCATCTGGTTACATCCGTCTCGGGTAACTCTCTGTACACATTTCCTACATAATCACCTGGTGACATCCGTCTCGGGTAACTCTCTGTACACATTTCCTACATAATCACCCGGTTACATCCGTCTCGGGTAACTCTCTGTACACATTTCCTACATAATCACCCGGTTACATCCGTCTCGGGTAACTCTCTGTACACATTTCCTACATAATCACCCGGTGACATCCGTCTCAGGTAACTCTCTGTACACGTTTCCTACATAATCACCTGGTTACATCCGTCTCGGGTGACTCTCTGTACACATTTCCTACATAATCACCTGGTGACATCCGTCTCGGGTGACTCTCTGTACACATTTCCTACATAATCACCCGGTTACATCCGTCTCGGGTAACTCTCTGTACACATTTCCTACATAATCACCCGGTTACATCTGTCTCGGGTAACTCTCTGTACACATTTCCTACATAATCACCCAGTTACATCCGTCTCGGGTAACTCTCTGTACACATTTCCTACATAATCACCCGGTTACATCCGTCTCGGGTAACTCTCTGTACACATTTCCTACATAATCACCTGGTTACATCCGTCTCGGGTAACTCTCTGTACACATTTCCTACATAATCACCCAGTGACATCCGTCTCGGGTAACTCTCTGTACACGTTTCCTACATAATCACCTGGTTACATCCGTCTCGGGTGACTCTCTGTACACATTTCCTACATAATCACCTGGTGACATCCGTCTCGGGTGACTCTCTGTACACATTTCCTACATAATCACCCGGTTACATCCGTCTCGGGTAACTCTCTGTACACATTTCCTACATAATCACCCGGTTACATCTGTCTCGGGTAACTCTCTGTACACATTTCCTACATAATCACCCAGTTACATCCGTCTCGGGTAACTCTCTGTACACATTTCCTACATAATCACCCGGTTACATCCGTCTCGGGTAACTCTCTGTACACATTTCCTACATAATCACCTGGTTACATCCGTCTCGGGTAACTCTCTGTACACATTTCCTACATAATCACCCGGTAACATCCGTCTCGGGTAACTCTCTGTACACATTTCCTACATAATCAGCCGGTAACATCCGTCTCGGGTAACTCTCTGTACACATTTCCTACATAATCACCTGGTTACATCCGTCTCGGGTAACTCTCTGTACACATTTCCTACATAATCACCCGGTTACATCCGTCTCGGGTAACTCTCTGTACACATTTCCTACATAATCACCCGGTTACATCTGTCTCGGGTAACTCTCTGTACACATTTCCTACATAATCACCCGGTTACATCCGTCTCGGGTAACTCTCTGTACACATTTCCTACATAATCACCCGGTTACATCCGTCTCGGGTGACTCTCTGTACACATTTCCTACATAATCACCCGGTGACATCCGTCTCGGGTGACTCTCTGTACACATTTCCTACATAATCACCCGGTGACATCCGTCTCGGGTGACTCTCTGTACACATTTCCTACATAATCACCCGGTGACATCCGTCTCGGGTAACTCTCTGTACACATTTCCTACATAATCACCTGGTTACATCCGTCTCGGGTAACTCTCTGTACACATTTCCTACATAATCACCCGGTTACATCCGTCTCGGGTAACTCTCTGTACACATTTCCTACATAATCACCCGGTTACATCTTTCCTACATAATCACCCGGTTACATCCGTCTCGGGTAACTCTCTGTACACATTTCCTACATAATCACCCGGTTACATCCGTCTCGGGTGACTCTCTGTACACATTTCCTACATAATCACCCGGTGACATCCGTCTCGGGGGGACTCTCTGTACACATTTCCTACATAATCACCCGGTGACATCCGTCTCGGGTGACTCTCTGTACACATTTCCTACATAATCACCCAGTGACATCCGTCTCGGGTAACTCTCTGTACACATTTCCTACATAATCACCTGGTTACATCCGTCTCGGGTAACTCTCTGTACACATTTCCTACATAATCACCTGGTTACATCCGTCTCAGGTAACTCTCTGTACACATTTCCTACATAATCACCTGGTTACATCCGTCTCGGGTAACTCTTTGTACACATTTCCTACATAATCACCTGGTTACATCCGTCTCGGGTAACTCTCTGTACACACTTCCTACATAATCACCTGGTTACATCCGTCTCGGGTAACTCTTTGTACACATTTCCTACATAATCACCTGGTTACATCCGTCTCGGGTAACTCTCTGTACACATTTCCTACATAATCACCTGGTAACATCCGTCTCGGGTAACTCTCTGTACACATTTCCTACATAATCACCTGGTTACATCCGTCTCGGGTAACTCTCTGTACACATTTCCTACATAATCACCCGGTGACATCCGTCTCGGGTAACTCTCTGTACACATTTCCTACATAGTCACCTGGTTACATCTGTCTCGGGTAACTCTCTGTACACGTTTCCTACATAATCACCTGTTTACATCTGTCTCAGGTAACTCTCTGTACACGTTTCCTACATAGTCACCTGGTTACAACTGTCTCAGGTAACTTTATGTCACGTGGGGCGCTCGGGTAGCCTAGTGGTTAAAGCGTTCGCTCGTCACGCTGAAGACCCGGGTTCGATTCCCGACATGGGTACAATGTGTGAAGCCCATTTCTGTTGTCCCCCGCCGTGATATTGCTGATATTTTGCTAAAAGCGGCGTAAAACCATACTCACTCACTCACTCACTCACTCACTCACTCACTCACTCACTCTATGTCACGTGTTCCTCATCATCAGTGGCTTCTGCAACATTTGACAAATTGTCCGTATGGTTGTTTATCCACATGTTTAGAGGCTCCACATTATTTAGTAGTTTTGAAACAGTTGACCTGCAGATCTTGTGTTAATGTTAATTTTATGCAAAGATTGTTATTAATCTGAATGTTTAAGTGTATGTTTTATTGAAATGTATGTTTATTTCAGCCATATTAAGCTGCTATGTCTGTGAAAAAGATGAAAAACTGGATCATTTCCAGCTTCGAGATTGTTGAGATTGGCTTTCACACAATGTTTAAGCTCACTGCAGCTTGAAAAGAAATTTTTAAAATATATATTTATTTTTTATGTTCACGTTTTTCATGAATTGGGAATTCAAGTTATCTTCAACTGACTGATATGAAATAAATGCCTTCTACAATTGATGGTCCGTCATGAAGATCCTGGTTAGAATTGGTCTTTATCTCATGTTTGTCATGAGAGGTGACTAGCCGGATCGGGTGATCAGGCTCGCTGACTTGGTTGATGCATGTCATTGTATCCCAATTGCATAGATTGATGCTCATGATGTCAATCACTGGATTGTCTGGTCCAGACTTTACTATTTACTCACCGCTGTCATATAGCTGGAATATTGCTGAGTGTGGCATTACACAACAAACAAACAAACAAACAAACCACTTATAGTGATGGGACAGTGAGGGGTTAACAGCTGTGTCTGTGTTTGTAGGTGCCCGGAAGAACCATGCAGCCGGTACGAGCCTCGTCAAGGACTACATGAGGAAGAGGAACCTTATTCTGTCCCTTGTGGTATGTCACAAACTGAGATCCCCTGTGGGGATTCTAGGATAGGATTGGTCCACCGTAGGGCTGGGATGGGTAACTCGGGTACCCGGGTCGGGTAGGTACTGAGTAGGACCCGGGTACCCACAGGACTACCCGGACCCTTGGTTAGTCACGTGATTATATTATTTAATGGCAAAAATTATCTAGAACTCTATGGTTACACTATAAGTGATATATGTTCACATTTCTTTCTGACTTTGCGCACATTCCTTCTGACTTTATATGTTTGCATAATGATAAAACATCAGTCAACATCAGTGTATGCATGACCAGATCGGTTTATACGTCTACCCATAATAATAACTTTATTGATAATTTATAACAATAATGGCTCTAGTCGTGGCAACTTCCAAACTTTCGGGAAGTTGTGATCTCTCGGACCGTCATTCAGGCGATGTTTCTGACAGATCACGATCTGAAAAATACTATCATGAAAGTGTATCCCGTGGATAAGCCGACCCCTTTCTACAGAATCTTTTTTCTGGTCCTCAAAATTCGGCTTATACGCGGTCATATACGGTATCTAAATTTAATTTGACAGGAGTACGGTCAAACTATTCCCAATCGGACATGTTTTACCTGTCTCTTGAGACCTACAGCGGGTAGGGTCAGGTTCCAGCCTCATTCCAGCCCTAGTCCCCAGCAACCCATGCTGGTCGTAAGAGGCAACTTATCAGGTTGAGTGGCTCATGAGTGTGTCATCGTACCCTAGTGGTGGATCGTTGCTCATAATATCAATCAGTGGTTTGTCTAGCCCAGAGTCAGTTATTTACAGGCCACTGTCATGTACTTGGAGTGAGTTACAAAATAGAATGTGAGGAATAGATTGTCTTCTGCCTCACATGTATGAAACAAATTGGCCTTGGCGCTTCGAAGATTACACAGTGATTTATTTCTTGTGTGGGCGGTCAGGTAGCCCACTGATTTAAGCATTCGCTCGTCTAACCGAAGACCCAGGTTTGATTCCTGACATGGGTACAATGTGTGAAGCCCATTTCTGGTGTCCCCTGCTGTGATATTGCTGGAATATTGCTAAAAGCAGTGTAAAACCATACTCACTCACTCACTCACTCACTTATTTCTTGTGGCCAAATCATGTCATTTTACAGAGAAAAATGGTAATAGTTGTGAGGAACAAGCAGTCGTTGTGATGGTTATTGAGAACTGATGATGATATGCTGTGTGTTGTGTGTTGTCATCAGCCTTCATACAAGGGAGTATGCACAATTCCCGTAACAGCCACACACCAGGCCTGAACAGAGACAAGCATTTGACCTGACCTGTCACCATTGACAAAACACACGTCAGAGGTCACTTGCTGATGTGTTCACACAATAAGCATACCTGTCAACATAGATTTTCTGATATTGCATAATTTGTTGGGAAAATATAGTTGAATTACGTAATTACGTAAATTATCACAGTTATGATTAATAATTATTATTTCTTGTGGGGTTTGAATATGTTTCATTTTGTTAAGTGTGTTTGTTACTTAAGTGTGTGTGGGTAGGGGGCAGACTTATGTAGGTGATGGGGGCGTCATAATATTTCACTTTTGTAGGCGATAGGAGTGTCATAATTTTATTCGTTTGTAGTGGGAAGAGGGTGTCATAATATTACACTGCTGTAGTGGAAAAGGGGGCAGTGTCTGAAACTCAGCAGAGTAAACTGAGAGCCTTAAGGACCAGCACATATAAAAAATTGTGGGCCCAAGCGTTTTAGCTGAAGCATTTTAACACGCACTCACGCATGCATGTCGCTATGTAAGTGCAATAATCTTGAATGTGACCTCACCTATTGTCATGTACCTGAAGCCTCAGTGACCAATGACTGACCATCTCTGTGACAGTCCAGCACTGTGGATGCCCTCATCACCCACCACAACCCCCTGGAGCTGCCCGAGATGAAGATCCCCGACGAGGAGAAGATCACTGCCTGGAGGATGTCGCCGTTCACGGAGAAACAGTGGCGGGAGACGGCCAGGATAGCGTGGGACATTTCCCCAGCCCTCGCCGTCTTTCTTCCTTCTCGGTAAGTTGACAAGTAAGCACAATATTCTGTTTGTAGTAATGTCTGATAAATGTGTAGCAGGGCTTGGAATCATCCCACAGGTGACATACTTACCATGTCAGCTTGTTGATAGGATTAACCTCTTTGGTCACGTGGACAAGGCATCCGACCTTGGATCGGAAGTTCCTCGGTTTCAAATCTCATCATGGGATTCAAAAATTTTATTGCTGCTACAAAGAGTTAATGCATTTCTAATCAGCAATTTTTTATCTGAGTTATGTAATCAGGCACTAGATTCATAAATCCTGTCACCTGGTGGTTGTCTTGATAGTAATAATTGCACTTGTTCAAATAAGTTTGGCATCCTTTGTGAATGTTTGCACAATCCAAATACTACAGACCCGTGAAGATTCCGGGGTAGAATAGGTCTTCAGCAACCCATGGTTGCCGTAAAGGGTGACTATGCTTGTCGTAAAAGGCGACTAACAGGATCGGGTGGTCAGGCTTGCTGACTTGGTTGATGCATGTCATTGTATCCCAATTGCGTGGATCGATGCTCATGATATTAATCACTGGATTGTCTGGTCCAGACTAAATTATTTACAGACCGCCGTCATATAGCTGGAATATTGCTGAGTGCGGCGTTAAACAACAAACAAACAAAAGGTATTTTTCTAGATCTGTTAGGAGGCTGATATTTGGTTCAAAGCCTGCAACACTTATAAGCAAAAATACCCAAATTGGAATTTCAAATTTTCGAGCTAAATAACAATCTTTTTCCTAAAATTTCCTAGCAAGGACACTATTTTTGGAATCTTGGATAGACTTCTGTTTTAGTGTGTCTAATGTACACCCCTTGTGTGCAGGTTCCGGCAGTCGGAAGCCCTAGTGAAGGAAGTGACCCGCCTGGTACGGACCAACCCTGAAGCTGTATGTCACATCCCAGATGCCCTCAGCTTCCTCGTCACCGCCCAGAGTGTGGAGGCTGATGCGCCTGAGGTAGGCGTCAACATCTCAACTCTGTCCTTACCTTTACCCTGCTGAATTTCTAGCATGCTTCTTAGCCAAATTGTTGGAATAATTTCAACTTGTAAACAGCCTACTTGGTAAAATATTATCGCGACACAATATGTAGCTCATTTTCACGGTCTAGAACACGTAATTAGTGCCATGTGTGAAATTATGAAAGTGTCTCTGTGTAACTGGGCTTATTAGTAACTGCAAGTCTGATCTGCAGCATTAACTTTGAGTTATCAGACAGTCAAAGTCTTTTTTTTTTTAGCTCAATTGACTGAACATCAATTTAGCGTATGTCATGACCTGTTTTATCCGGCATCCGTCATGCTTTATCCGTTCGACCCGTGAAGATCCGGGGTAGAATAAGTCTTCAGCAACTTCAGCAACAACAGGCGACTATGCTTGTCGTAACAGGCGACTAACGGGATCAGGTGGTCAGATTGCTGATTTGGTTGATGCATGTCCTCTTATCCAAATTGTGTGGATTGATGCTCATGATGTCAATCACTGGATCGTCTGGTCCGAACTCGATTTTTCACAGTCCGCCGTCATATAGCTGGAATATTGCTGAGTGAGGCGTTAAACAACAAACAACAACAATTTTATCCGTTCCATTAAACCATTAAACCGATGCAGCTGAAACTCCACATATGATGACACCCCAATTTGTTCAAGAGCTTTGAATCTGTTTGGCAGCCATATTGAACAAATTATTTATGACCACTACAGCCATTTTGTTTAGATATTGCTGGATGATCGATTACTATCGTGTTGAAAAAAGATCATTCCCTCACTGAACACAAGAACTTGTCTGTGGTCCTCAAGCAACTGAAAATGTGTCTTTGGTTCTGCTTTCGTTCAGTAGGTTTTTAATCCCCAGCAACCCATGTTTGTTGTAAGAGGCGACCTTTGGGATTGGGTGGTCAGGCTCGCTGACTTCGTTTACTGCATGTCATCATATCCCAATGGCATGGATCGATGCCCATGATGTCAATCACTGGATTGTCTGGCCCAGTCTCGATTATTTACATAATATAGCTTGGATATTGCTGAGAACGGCCTTAACCACGAATAAACAGTAGGTTTTCAGATATAGACTTTTTTTTAAAAATATTTTTTTTATATTACTCCTTATTTTGGTTTAGCTGTAACCCATGTAAGATTGACAGTGTCTACTGCGTATACTTTCTACTTTAGCCACTAGTCCAGGCTAGTAAGATGTTAGCTTAGCTAATATGCCCATATCTTCAGATATATTAACAGACTACATCTACACAGTGTAAGGCTTAATAAAATAAAAGAACTGGTTCTCAGACAATGTTTTTTGACAATATAGTGCAGGCGGGTGGGTTATTCAAACTAGTATGTAACCAAATAAACAGTTGTGTAACCAAATAAACAGTTGTGTACAATCAACCTGAGAAAGGGCCTTCTATATAAATGTTCCTTGATGAGTAAGATACTGGAATACAGTATTTGACTACTGTTGGACTCAGAATATTTAAGGATTTTTTTTGTTTTATTTTAAATGGAAATAAAAACGAAACGTGGGGCTGACTTTGCGATGATGCGGGCGGTGCCTGAGAACCAAGATTATTTTTTTTTAGCCTTATTGTTTTGTGGTGTTTTGGATTATGTATAATAAAGTATGTCAACCTGTGTTTCAGCTGACTCACATGATGACCTGGGGAATTGTCTCCCCTGTCCTGGCGCTCTCCTACTTCTCCCGGCTGTACCCCCCACATCCCCTCACGGCCCAGTTCGCTGTTAGAGTTCTGCGATCTCACCCATCTGTGAGTGGTCATTATCACATGTTATTTGGATGAATCCTATTGGCTCTCATACTTACTGAAACCACATGTGAATTAAGATCCGGGTTAGAATTGGTTTTCAGCTAACCTATGCTTGTCATAAGAGGCGACTAACGGGATCGGGTGGTCAAGGTCACTGACTTGAAAGATGCATGTCATCATATCCTATTTGCATAGATCGATGCTCATGATGTAAATCACTGGTTTGTCTGGTCCAGACTTGATTATTTACAGATCTCTGTCATATAGCTGGAATATTGCTGAGATATCTCAGTCATATATCCATCAATTTGTATCAGTATGATGCATGTTAGTGTGTTCAGGCGTTACACGCTGTTTTCAGTTTGAAATTTGTGGTATTGAGAATTACCGTATAAGCGCCCCTCTCTAATAAGCGCCAACGGCGATATTTGCTAATATATTGGCAAGTGAACAATCCCAATTCCTTCCGATTGGTCAGTGTAGACAAGACATATTTATTTGTGTATAATACACACTCGTGTGTTATATGCACCCTTAATTATGGGCAATTAAATTCTGGAAAAATATATCTGTCGTGTATGATACGCACAGATTTTTCTTTTGTATCATTACAGGCTGTCGGCATAAACCACGAAATTTACGACCTTTCAACTTTCAACAAAATTTTATTCGAATAAGAGCCCTCTATTTCTAATTTTGAGAGCACCCTGGGTGCTTATTACATTGAATACGGTAAATGTTTGATGAGTGATCCATATATGTCTGCTTTCAGGAAGCCTTGCTGTTCTACATACCACAGATAGTCCAGGCACTCCGATACGACCCGGTAAGACTTGGTGTCAGTAGTGACATTGAACAGGATTAGCCAGGGTTTCTAACAAATAGATGACCCATGAATATTCCGGGGTAGAATAGGTCTTCAGCAACCCATGCTTGTTCAAAAAGGTGACTATGCTTGTCGTAAAAGGCGACTAACGGGATTGGGTGGTCAGGCTCTCAGACTTGGTTGATGCATGTCATCGTATCCCAATTGCGTGGATCGATGCTCATGATGTCAATCACTGGATTGTCTGGTCCAGACGCGATTATTTTACAGACCACCATCATATAGCTGGAATATTGCTGAGTGCGGCGTTAAACAACAAACAAACAAACAAAACAAATAGTCTGTGGCAGGTCTTTGGGGGAAAAAGGCTATAGATCTTGTTGAGGTCTTTTTACAGCGTTAGAAATTGGCACTAGTCCTGTAGTCCTTGCCAAACTGCCCAATAGGTAAGGTATCATAGGGACTAGTAGAAACATGCTATTTTTGTCGTCATAAGGGCTAGTGGTCTAATAATGTTAGTTTCTACCGCTGCTTTTTACATTGCATATATTGCAATAATGTAAAACTTAACATTGCATCATGTTCTTTTCTTGGGCATATTCTCAGTGAAATACAGAAACCATTGAAGTTGTAATATTAGGAAACTTTGTCTTACAAGTTGGTGTTTTTTACTGACAGTTGTTGTTGACAAGAAACCATCTTCCCGAGGCAAGTGAGTTAACTGACTTTAAAAGTCCAGTTTCCACCCTTGCCAAACTAGGCTGAAATTCCTGGGCTCGATCATAGCGCCACCAGTGGATATTACGAGTTATGTCCTTTCTATACCTCTCCTATGGACCAATCAGAACCCCCTCTCGTATCACTTGCACTTTCTTCAAACAAAATTGCGGCGCCCAGTCAAGACGATCTGATCGATAATCAAGATCTATATTGTGATAAAACGGGTCTTACATCACGAAGTGCATCAAATCATGTGAGCACCTTGATGAAAAACATAAAAAGATTTGAAAAATATTTGTTGACAATAAGTTGGCAGTGCACATGCTTTGCAAATCCTGCAATCGACCGAAATCTGCATGACAGTTTACGAACGGGATTTCAATTTCATTGCGCAATTTGATTGGAAAATGCATAGACTTGTTAGTCCAGCCAAAATCTAACTCCATAATACCAGCCTAACTCGGCAAGGGTGGAAACTGGACTTTTATAGTGAGTTAATTCCCTTGCCTCAGGAAGATGATCAGAAAGGAGTGTTATGAATAAGTTGAGGGGCAGTGGGGTAGCCTAAAGGTTAAAGCTTTCTCTCGTCACACCGAAGACCAAGGTTCGATTTCCAAAATGGGTACATTGTGTGAAGCCCATTTCTGGTGTCACCCAATGTGGTATTACTGGAATATTGCTAAAAGTGGCGTAATAAGTTGCTGGTGTGTTTCAGATGGGCTACATGTATGAGTTCATCATGTGGGCCGCCAAGACCTCCCAGCTGTTGGCCCACCAGCTGCTGTGGAACATGAAGACCAATATGTTCATGGACGAGGATTCTACCATCAAGGACGGTATGGAGAAATCTTAGGATCAGTTGTCGTGGATACCTGATGCCATAGCCACAGCTAAACAGTAGTGGAAAATATATCCATTGCGTCTTGGTCATAAAGTTGTGTCAAAATTTGAAGGGTGCCCATGATATAAATATCATTAGAAGCAGATTTTAGTTCTCTCTACCGCTAAACAAAGATCTGAGGATGTCCCATTACAGGTCATGTCAGAACGACCATTCGATTACATTGACCAACCACTGAAATAACTAACACGAAATCGACAGCCAATCAGAAAGCAGCTTTCTTGAGCAATAAGGCACTATTTTCAAACTGACAACTTTGATTTCTAACTATGCTTTGAAAATATTTTGACAAGGTTCTCTATTCAAAATGTTAAACTAAACGAAAGAATATTCTGGAATGTCTTGTAGATGGCTGAGACTGTATGACAGTACTTCCTAATGCAAAGTCTCTTCCATTCAAATGTCTATCTTATTGAAGGGAGAGAAAAATGATGATTTTGTCAGTCAGTCTTAGGAATACCCCGCCTTGCATGATTAGAGAGGAGATATGTTTCTGATATTGTGTATGTAACGTTGGGTACGTTCCCCAACAGAGGAGATCTGTTTCTAACGTTGTGTACGTTCCTCCACAGAGGAGATCTGTTTCTAACGTTGTGTATGTTCCTCCACAGAGGAGATCTGTTTCTAACGTTGTGTACGTTCCTCCCCAGAGGAGATCTGTTTCTAACGTTGTGTATGTTCCTCCACAGAGGAGATCTGTTTCTAACGTTGTGTACGTTCCTCCACAGAGGAGATCTGTTTCTAACGTTGTGTACGTTCCTCCACAGAAGAGATCTGTTTCTAACGTTGTGTACGTTCCTCCACAGAGGAGATCTGTTTCTAACGTTGTGTACGTTCCTCCACAGAAGAGATCTGTTTCTAACGTTGTGTACGTTCGGCCACAGAAGAGATCTGTTTCTAACGTTGTGTACGTTCCTCCACAGAGGAGATCTGTTTCTAACGTTGTGTACGTTCCTCCACAGAGGAGATCTGTTTCTAACGTTGTGTATGTTCCTCCACAGAGGAGATCTGTTTCTAACGTTGTGTACGTTCCTCCACAGAGGAGATCTGTTTCTAACGTTGTGTATGTTCCTCCCCAGAGGAGATCTGTTTCTAACGTTGTGTACGTTCCTCCACACAGGAGATCTGTATCTAACGTTGTATATGTTCCTCCACAGAGGAGATTGGAGACAAGCTGGAGGCCCTGATGACTGAGATCACAAAATCCTTAGCAGGTCCTGCCCTGCAGTTCTATGAGAGGGAGTTCGACTTCTTCGGGAAAATCACAGCCATTTCTGGAGATATTAGGTAGGTGGGACAAACTGCAAACTGAACTCAGCAGAGAAAGATTCATGGTCCTAAGCCAGCATGAAACTTCAGTTTCTGTTTTTAAATGCATGCTTCCAATTTGTATGATTATTACAGACTATTCAAGTGTTGAAATACTCCAGGTGTTTATTCTGAACTTTTAGTTACTGTCATGGTGTTGATACATTTCAGGCCGTATCCCAAAGGTCCAGAGAGAAATGAAGCATGTTTGAAGTGTCTGAGTAAAATCCAGTTGCAGCAAGGTAGGTTGTGGTTTTCAATGCTGGATACTAAAATATAATATTAAAATAAACAGACACAGGTTCATATATACACTTGTATTCACCAGCCAACGGGGGCACGGGTGACCCAGTCGTCTAAGGCACCGCGATTCGCTGTGCAGAGTTGCATCCCTTGGGCACGCCCGAAACCTATGATTGTGGGTTCGAATCCCGGTTCGCCCCGATTATGTTTCTAGGTTTGTCAGCACCATACCCGTGCTCGTGGGTTTCACTGAAGTGGTAAATGTCTGAGACCTGCATCACTTCGGTCTTTCCTCCCACATTAAGCTGACATGCCATGATATAACTGGAATACAGTTAAAAGCGGCGTTAAACCCAACTCACTCACTCACTCACTCACTCACTGCTGTAGGAAGGCATGGCTGTTAAGGGACTGTAAGAGTAGGGGTGGTGGGGCAACCTAGTGGTAAAGCGTTTGCTCGTCACCCCGAAGGCCTGGGTTTGATTCCCAACATGGGTTCAATGTGTGAAGTCCATTTCTTGTTGAAAAATGTTGAAAAACTGTCTCACAGAACTGTCTGTGATGTCATGAACAGTGGAATATCATCTTCAATTATTTGTGACAAATCTTTGATATGTCATGTAGCTATGTGCTTTTTCACAAACAGTGAAAACAGTGAGACAATTGACGTGAACTAGCCAGTTAGCTTAGAGCAAAAATTATAATAGTTAGTAAGAATTACTGAAAGTATTTGCATTGACCTCTGAACCTCTGTGGGGGACACGGGTGGCCCAGTCGTCTAAGGCGCTGCATTTCGCTGGGCAGAGCTGCGTCCCTTGGGCACGCCAGAAACCTATGATTGTGGGTTCGAATCCCGGTACAACCCAGGAGTTTAGATTTTATGAATGTAAACATTGTTCCATCATGCACTTGATAGAACAGGGGTTGTGATTTAGAAAAAGTTTCAGAGTCATATAAGGAAAAGCATATCAAGACAGTAAAAAAAACAGATACCCTATTCGACGTAATATGCACCCCGCTTTAATAAGCGCCCACGGCGATATTTTCTAATATGTTGGCTAGTGAACAATCCTAATTAGCACCCTTCCGACTGATCAATGGACTTATTTATTTGTGTATAACACGCACTCGTGTGTTATATGCACCCTTAATTACGGGTAATTAAATTCTTGAAAACTCTATCTGTCGTGTATAATACACACAGACTTTTCTTTTGTATCATTTCAGGCTGTCAGCATAAACCACGAAATTTACGATCTTTCAACTCTTTCAGCAAATTTATATTCTAATATATTCTAATTCTTATTACGTGGAATACGGTTTTGTTAAATTTTCTGTTTAAAGAGAAACCATATTCCATCATACATAATATATCAGTGTTTGTGTGTGTTATGTTACCATGTGTCAAAGAGCCTCATGCATGATGTAAATTTAACTCCTACAAAGTTACATTAATTACATACAAGTGGTATGGTTATCTGTCAGGGTTGGAAATAATTGGACGGTTTCACTCGTTCACAAAAATGATTGCAATTTACCTAATGGTGAGTGAGTATGGTTTTACGCCGCTTTAAGTAATATTCCAGCAATATCACGGCAGGGGACACCATAATTGGGCTTCACACATTGTACCCATGTCGGGAATCGAACTCAGGTCTTCAGTGTGACGAGCGAACGCTTTAACCACTAGGCTACCCCACCACCCATTTATTAATGGTAAAGGTGGTAGTCCACAAGGACATGTCACTAGTACTTCCTGCATGTTATGAGCCTTGGACTAGTGGCCTACTGTGAATTTCTAACCATGTCTGTAAGTTCTGTGATAAGATGTAGGGTGTTTGTTCCAGGGTGCTACCTACCTTCAAACCCCGAAGCTATCGTCACTGAGATTGACAAGAAATCTGGCACACCCATGCAGAGGTAAGTTAGATATGTGTCAGGACAGGAATATTTGGGTTTTTTTTTGTTTTACCCCGCACCTAGCAATACTCCAGGTATATGACAGGGGTCTGTAAATAAACGAGTCTGGATCAAACAATCCAGTGATTGACATCATGAGCATCCATCTAAGTAATTGGGATACGATGACTTGCACCAACCCCGTCAGTGAGCCATAGCACCCAATCCCATCAGTCGCCTCCTATGACAAGCATGGGTTACAGAGTGCTAATTCTAAACTGGATATTCACAAGGGCGATAGCGCTATACAGCAGATAAGGCACTGCCTCACAAAAAGACTGGTCGACTGGCCTTGCATTTTCTTGTCCTGGAAATGGGTCACTGGTCCTCTATCTATCACGATGTAAATTTAGACCTTGAATAGCACACAGACCTTAAAGATAAGACGTCCACTAGGGAACCCAGCTGCTGTCTAACTGTAACTGGGTTACACCAAGCATGGTCGTTTGTTATGGCAAGCACGGGTTGCCGAAGACCTATTCTAGCCCGGATCTTCAAGGGTCAAGGACAGGAAAAGCCTTGGCTTCATCAGACCCAGAGGGCATGGGAATTAATAGCAGACGACTTATGTCTTTTATGACCATGGGACTGAGTCCCAGTTCAACTTGATTATGTTTCTAGGTTTGTCAGCACCATACCTGTGCTCCTGGGTTTCACTGAAGTGGTAAACATGTGAGAACTGCATCACTTCAGGCTTTGCTCCCACATCAAGCTGACACACCATGATAATACTGAAATACTATCAGTTGGCTTTAAGGCAAACTCACCCACTCACTCCTTGATGTAAGATGCCTGTAAATTTTATGCAGTTGGTGTTGAAGATACGCAATAAAGTTTCCTGATTGTGTTGATGGCGACGCAAGTAAATGCATCTATCATAATAGATAACTCCCACTATATTGTCAGAATGTTGTCGATAGAAATATATGGAGTAAGTACACTATTGCATATAACACAGGACTTCGATGCCACCTATAATTGGACACCATGTACTGATTCTTCGGAAAGTGATGACAAAAAAGATACACCAATACACTGCTTTGGAACAGACAAGGGATCCTCATGATATCATAAGTCTAGAGTATGGGTATGACAACAGGCGTGGCACCGAAATCTCTTTGTTGAATACAGGCCAAACCTGTAACCTACTTCATTGCTCTTTCTTTGACTGTTGTACGTAAAGGAGAACCACTTCTCCTAGGGTTTGTTTGTTTGTTTGTTGTTTAACGCCGCACTCAGCAATATTCCAGCTATATGATGGCGGTCTGTAAATATTGAGTCTGGACCAGACAATCCAGTGATTGATATCATGAGCATCGATCCACGCAATTGGGATCGATGACATACATGTATCAACCAAGTCAGCGAGCCTGACCACCTGATCCCGTTAGTCGCCTTTTACGACAAGCATAGTCGCCTTTTACGGCAAGTATGGGTTGCTGAAGATCTATTCTACCCCGGAATCTTCACCGGTCCCTCTCTTAGGGATTACTTGAGATTGTAAAGGAGGGAACATATCGATGTCAAACCTGTAAAGCAACTCATCACATAGATGACAAGAAAACATCACGATACCTTATGGTGAAACAATACAGTGTGTGACTGTATAAGAGGAATCCGATTAAAGCGTGTGAGAGAAAGACCACGTGCAGCATGGACCAACTGGATTCATGACATGTAAAATTGAAAAACTTTTCATCACCTGCTCGGTGACCCAGTCGGAAAACAGTGGGTTAGAAAACTAAACACAATATGTGAGTTTGCAGGTTCAATTCCTGTCATCCATAGTGAAAACTTTCATTTCTTGTCTTCGATTTTGGAACATTGGACGTTTGAAACACCAAGTACAAATTTATAAGTATAGAAGTATTAGAAGCTCCTCATAGGCGGGTTTACAACGATTGTAACCTTGTTGGACGATTCACAACCAATCATTGTGGGCCCTCATAGGAGGGTTTACAATCAATGTAAACCAGACTACAGGGGATTACATACCGTATTCGACGTAATAAGCACCCAGGGCGCTCTCAAAATTAGAAATAGGGGACTCTTATTAAAATATCATTTTGGTGAGAAAAAAATAGGGTTGAAAGATACATTTTGTGGTTTATGCTGACAGCCTGAAATGTTTATATACAAGAGATACATTTTTCCAGAATTTAATTGCTCATAATTGCATATAACACACGAGTGCGTACATGTATTATACGCGAATAAATAAGTGTTGTGTACATTGATCAATTGGAAGGAGTGCTAATTGGGATTGTTCACTGGCCAATATATTAGCAAATACCGCCGTGGGCGCTTATTAGAGCGGGGCGCTTATTACGTCGAATACGGTATATAAACTATTGCGCTCTATGGGGAATTCAACCATTTAAAAAATACTCATGGCTTACACAAACACGTAGGAGTTTTATGACTACGCTTCCATTTTGTTTCAATGCTGTTGAAATGAACCACTTTTCCCCTGCAGTGCTGCGAAAGCCCCGTACCTGGCCAAATTCAGGGTGAAGAGGTGCGGCATCCATGGCCTGGAGAGACTGGCCCTGGGGGACAACCAGGCCCTTGCCAAGGACTCCGTGGTCCCCGAATACTGGCAGGCCTGCATATTCAAGGTCGGCGATGATGTCAGACAGGTAGGTGGTGTTGGGCTCGATACTTCTAACCTTGATCATGTTGATGTCCTCAAACATTGTGGACGGTTAGTTATATTGCTGTCACCTTTTTCAGATTGCCTCTACAGGCATGTAACTTGCATATTTGCTTTTTTTATATACTTCAGTGTGAAAGACTGAAGTTGAGAAAAGTGATATTTTTATTGCAGTGAACATAACACTTTGACAGAACTATTGTCATACAAGAGTTACATCCCCTTAAATTGTCTCCCTTTATCATAAGTGTTGAAGTGTGACAAACTGTTGACGTGGTTTTTACGTGAGTTCCACATTGACAAGGCAAAATATAGACAGATGGTCATTTATCATGTTTCTCTCATCTCGTGATGGGGGAAAAGGAGATATTTTCATCAATACCCCAACTTGTTGCTGAAACATTGTTCATGCAGTATTAACTCACTCTTTGTACATGTGCCCAAACATCCCCATCTAGAATGATCCGCTCTGTTCCAACATCCCCATCCAGAATGACCATCACCCCCCTCTGTTCCAACATCCCCATCTAGAATGACCCCCTCTGTTCCAACATCCCCATCTAGAATGACCATCACCCCCCTCTGTTCCAACATCCCCATCTAGAATGACCCCCTCTGTTCCAACATCCCCATCTAGAATGACCATCACCCCCCTCTGTTCCAACATCCCAATCTAGAATGACCCCCTCTGTACCAACATCCCCATCTAGAATGACCCCCTCTGTTCCAACATCCCCATCTAGAATGACCATCACCCCCCTCTGTTCCAACATCCCCATCTAGAATGACCCCCTCTGTTCCAACATCCCCATCTAGAATGACCATCACCCCCCTCTGTTCCAACATCCCAATCTAGAATGACCCCCTCTGTTCCAACATCCCCATCTAGAATGACCCCCTCTGTTCCAACATCCCCATCTAGAATGACCATCACCCCCCTCTGTTCCAACATCCCCATCTAGAATGACCCCCTCTGTACCAACATCCCCATCTAGAATGACCCCCTCTGTACCAACATCCCCATCTAGAATGACCCACTGTTCCAACATCCCCATCTAGAATGACCCCCTCTGTTCCAACATCCCCATCTAGAATGACCCCCCCTCTGTTCCAACATCCCCATCTAGAATGACCCCCTCTGTTCCAACATCCCCCATCTAGAATGACCCCCTCTGTTCCAACATCCCCCATCTAGAATGACCCCCTCTGTTCCAACATCCCCATCTAGAATGACCCCCTGTTCCAACATCCCCATCTAGAATGACCCCCTCTGTTCCAACATCCCCATCTAGAATGACCCCCCCTCTGTTCCAACATCCCCATCTAGAATGACCCCCTCTGTACCAACATCCCCATCTAGAATGACCCCCTCTGTACCAACATCCCCATCTAGAATGACCCCCTGTTCCAACATCCCCATCTAGAATGACCCCCTCTGTTCCAACATCCCCATCTAGAATGACCCCCTCTGTTCCAACATCCCCATCTAGAATGACCCCCCCTCTGTTCCAACATCCCCATCTAGAATGACCCCCTCTGTTCCAACATCCCCCATCTAGAATGACCCCCTCTGTTCCAACATCCCCCATCTAGAATGACCCCCTCTGTTCCAACATCCTCATCTAGAATGACCCCCTGTTCCAACATCCCCATCTAGAATGACCCCCTCTGTTCCAACATCCCCATCTAGAATGACCCCCCCTCTGTTCCAACATCCCCATCTAGAATGACCCCCTCTGTTCCAACATCCCCATCTAGAATGACCATGTCAGATGTACCGGGTACCTCTGTTTCAGGACATGCTGGCGCTCCAGGTGATAGGAATGTTCAAGAATATCTTTGAGCTGGCAGGACTCGAACTCTACCTAGCTCCCTACAGGGTTGTTGCCACAGCTCCAGGGGTGAGGAGCTCTCTGTTTCTATGAATATGTATAGGTCAAGGCTAATTTGCAAATTTGTATGATGAGATGAACGATAATATCAACACTGCCCTTGGATGAAGGTTAATCATTATCTGTGTTGTATAACAGTGTGGTGTGAGAAGAATGACTGTTGACCTGTTGGGGTGAAACGATACACCAAGGTCACGATATGATGTGTATCACGATACGCATATTTACTTCAAATCGCATGGAAACTTCTTGACAATAAATATTTCAGAGCAGGTTCAAAAGGAAAAGCAAGCTGTAGACACATGTTTGGAAGGGCTTTTTTTGTAATGACCTTGTAGCAGTAATTACAACACATTTTGCTATATATGACTGACAAAAATGCCAGTGGTCACTAAACGAGTAGTAATTCTTTTTCAGCAAGTGTACATAGAAAAGTGTCTCGTGTATTGTGTCATCACAAGAAAAGTGACCAGGCACCAGTGCCCTGATGTATCGCTTCACCCCTGTTGACCTGTATGACACTGTCTTTATGTTATATTGCAGTGCGGGGTCATCGAGTGTGTGCCGGACAGCAAGTCACGTGACCAGATCGGGAGACAGACCGACATCGGCATGTATGAGTATTTCATAGCCAAGTATGGAGATGAATCTTCACCGGAGTTCCAAGCTGTGAGTTGTTCTATTTCGTAACTCAAACTCATATTTTTCATTTTCTTCTTAATATTAAATTATGTAAGGAATTTTAATCACTTGCATGTCCCCCAGCTATGATAAGGCTAATTGACATAGCAACAAATATCCATGGTTTGTGGGTGTGGCTACTATTCAAAGTCAGCTACTTCCATTCTCTACATCTATTGAAAATTAATGATGGTAACATTTGGATTTAAAATGTCTAGGTCTTTTTTGCCTACAAGTATTATGTGTATCATTGGGTATATATGTAATGAAAATATACTATTAAACTACTCTTGAACATGGAAAAGCAGATTAGATACCGATTCTCTCATCAAGTTGGACTTAAGGCAACAGTCAGATTTGTTCTTTCGAATTTTGGGGGGTTCTGGGGGGTTTGTCATCTTCTTATGACTCTTGTTTAGATGTAGATGCAGTTTTCATACATATATATGTAGCCCAGAATGTGTGTGAGCATATGTGGTAGTAGATGTGTAACCATGACAACCATGTCTCCTACAGGCCCGACATAACTTCGTTGTCAGCATGGCTGCCTACAGCATCGTCAGCTACCTGCTGCAGATCAAGGACAGACACAATGGAAACATCATGCTCAACAGCAAGGGACACATCATCCACATTGGTCAGTCACCATGTTCACATGTTCCTGTGGGATCCTGGGTTAGAATTGGTCCTCAGCAACCTATGCTGGTCGTAAGAGGCGACTGAAAGGAATGGGTGGTCAAGCTCAGTGACTTATACTGGGCTTTATTACCTGATGGAGTGGAACATTGATCACTATATCAATCATTTGATTGTCTGGTCCAGACTTGATTATTTACAGGCCGTCATCATATAGCTGGAATATTGCTGAGTGCTGGCTATATAACAAGCACGCACACACATAATGGCTAACTTGTGCATAGGACCTGTAGGATGGGTTGTGTATTAGTCTTTATTGGAACCTGGAAACTGGACCTATATCAACTGATGTGATTTTTGGACGATTACTGGATTTGCAAGTCCTTACCAATACTAGTTAGTAGGCACTATGTGCCAGCAAAAGCTGAATATGGGTCGAATTGACACACCATGCTCACAGGTTTCACCAAACTGGTAGATGTCTGTGACCTCTGTTTCTTAATCCCATTAAAATCAGATCTTAGTTCTCGCTACTGCTAACCAAAGCCAAAGTGAACACAAAGATCGGATTCCAATGAGATTTGTGTTCCTTTGAGAGTTAAACACACCTCAAGCAGACATGGCTTAAATCAAACACCTGTAAAAACCAACACGCTAACATCTATGCATACTGAACTCAAAATATAATAAGAATTTTTAATTAAATTATTAGAACATGTCAGTTTCCATTTGGGACTGTTTCTGTTTGACTGACCTTAATGCTAGGGGGACATTTTGTTGCAGATTTTGGCTTCATGTTTGAGAGTTCCCCGGGAGGAAACCTCGGCTGGGAGCCGGACATCAAGCTGACCGAGGAGATGCTGATGATCATGGGTGGCACGATGGAGGCGCCGTCCTTCCAGTGGTTCATGGAGCTGTGCGTGCAGGGATACCTTGCTGTCAGGTACGCTGATGTCATTGGAATGGGTGGCCGATTGGCTGTGCAGAGTTATGTCCCTTAGGCGTGCCAGGAATCTGTGATCATGGGTTAAAGATGCCAGATCAACCTGTTAATGTTTTTTAATTGTGAGATCCATGACTGTAATGATTGGTGTTACCAACAGAGGATCCAGCATTGTTAAAAGGGAGGGGTCCTAAAATATCACGATCCTCTCTAAATTCTACTGCCTACAACATACTACATTTGATTTCCAAAGGGTGGGGCCGGACCCCCTCTCTGGATCCACCTTTGGTTTCCAAAGTAATAAATGTCTTTATCATCCAAAGCTCGTCTCCACTCGAGATATCGCTGCAATAAACTTGCATCACGATGCTTTGCAACCGTTGTGACCATCAGTTACCATGACCATCAAATGACATGGCTAATTTTTCTCCTGCTGCAACTGGTTAGCTGTACCTTTTATAGACAGGACACTGCTTATTACTGTTTACATACAGCAGGGGGCACGGATGGCCCAGTCGTTTAAGGCTAGCAGAGTTGCGTCCCTTGGGCACGCCAGAATTGATTGTGGGTTCGAATCCCGGTTCGCCCCGATTATGTTTCTAGGTTTGTCAGCACCATACCCGTGCTCGTGGGTTTCACCGAAGTGCTAAACGTCTGAGACCTGCATCACTTCTGACTTTCCTCCCACATAAAGCTGGCACTCCGCGATATAACTGGAATACTGTTGAAATCGGCGTAAAACCCAACTCACTCACTCACTTACATACAGCAAGCCTCACAGTTTGAAGCTTTTATTGATATTGTGTTGATATATTTGATATCAAAAGACACTCGGGTGAGATCCTTCATAAGACCAACATCACTTTGGACTTCCTCTCACATCATGCAATGATATAACTGAAATACTGTTCAAAGCAGCATTAAACCAAACTCACTCACTCACTCTTTGTTGTCCACATCAGTACAAGCTACATATTGTGAACTTCAGGGTATTATTGGTCTTGAGATAAATATCATCATTTAGAATGATGCTCATGCTTTCAATCACTGGTTTGTATGATCCAAACTTGAGTGACTGTGGTAAAGCTGAGAATTCTGACTGTCAGGAAAGGTTTATTGTATGAGAAACAATATAACATAACTTATTACCTACAAGGGCAAACATATCAGGGTTCATAAAAATCATATGTGCCCTAGGGTTTGTTTCCATCATCCGGATGGTATTGTTGACATCATTTGATTCTTATTGTGACATGAGGTCGGAATGACGTCAAAATAGAAACGTCATGGCTGAAGAATGTTGACATCATTCAAAAAATTTTGGTCAGGCTGCTGTTGCGACTTGCTGTCCTTATAGGTAAACACTTTAATTTGTCTCTGTATATAGACATCTTCGGTAATATATAGAACATTATATGAGTGTTCATCTCATTCTAGGGGGTCGGGTGGCCCAGTCGTCTAAGGCGCCGCAATTCGCTGTGCAGAGTTGCGTCCCTTCGGCATGCCAGAAACCTATGATTGTGGGTTCGAATCCCGGTTCGCCCCGATTATGTTTCTAGGTTTGTCAGCACCATACCTAGGCTCATGGGTTTCACCGAAGTGGTAAACGACTGAGACCTGCATCACTTCGGTCTTTCCTCCCACATTAAGCTGACACGCGTGATATTACTGGAATACTGTTAAAAGCGGCGCTAAACACAACCCACTCACTCACTCACTCATCTCATTCTATGTGTACAACACTCCTGCCTAGATATTCATGTGGTAAACATAGTATGACATGAACACTCAAATAAAATCCTCTATATAATAACATAGCTGACACTGCTCTGTGTCTCCAGGCCCTACCAGGAGGCAATCATCTCCCTGGTGTCCCTCATGCTGGACACGAGGCTGCCGTGTTTCCGCGGACAAACCATCAAGCTGCTCCGGAGCCGCTTTGCCCCACAGGCCAACGAGAGAGAGGCTGCCAACTTCATGCTGAAGATCATCCGAGACTGCACCCTCAACTGGCGTGGTCGCACCTACGACATGCTACAGTACTATCAAAACCAGATTCCGTATTGATTCACTCAGCGTCTCAGAATTTGGAATCCAGCAGTGCAAGACTCTGCTAGACTCTGTGTATACAGTGTATAGATATTTATTGCAGTGTGTGAAGTCCCTCGAAATGTGGATTCTCTCCTGTTGCCTGTTAGGCCATAATGAACTGATTGCTAGATTATGATCCCCACCCGACTCACGACTAACCCCCCCAACAAATTAATTTTATTTGTCCGAGTAAAATGTGTAATCACTTTAACGACATCAGCTGTCAAACGGCCATTTCCATTCGTGACCAACTCGTGTTATTCCGGGACAAGCCGAATAGCGCAAACGGGCATACCTAAAACAATTGTCAACTCGTTGCGTAATGGTTCACATATATTTCCCCATATTATATATATTTCAGATGCACATCGGGACGTGCAGAATTATACAGTATGATTGAACACAATTAACTGTGTCTTGGGTATATTTTTAGATGCAAGACATATGTAAAATCAAAAATTATTTATGAGGGATTATTTGACAAAGAACTCGAAATCATACGCCCATTCTGATTGGTTTGTCATATTTTCGCACATACAGTCATCGATAGGGGGACGAGTCTTCTTGCAGGTAACGGAAAGGGGCGAGTGGTGACGAATGGGCCATTTCATGTTTACAACATGCCATAAAATGGTCTACAACTGTTTGTGTACCTGCCTTTTGTGTGCTTGCTGTCAAGATGGTGTTCACTATTTTGAAAATACGAGTGTGCAAACCATTAAAGACTGGTATGCCTGTCCTTTGCCAGAGTCTTTGACTCTTACGGAAATCTTCAACAAGTTTGCTTGTGGGGATAAATTGAGGATAAATTCATAAACGCACAAGTACAATTTGGGGCAGGGAAAACGAAAATAGGTTTGACACAGGTACATCCGACTGCTATTGTTGAAATCAATGTTTATTTATTATCTTTGTTATTTCAGTCATCTTATGTTCATACCAAGGTGTCCAGTGTTCAATTTGATGACTTTGATAGAGAATTAAAAAATAAAAAATAAAAAACCTCCCTCCCCACTTTTGAAAAAAAAGCGGATAATGATCTAGCAATTAATTTATTGTGGCCTTATGAGAAGATGGCAGTGATCTTTTGTATATTTGTGGCATATCTTAGTGGGCTAGCACTATAGACCGGCATTAGGCTGGACAAGTACAAGCAGACACGCACCTATATGCATGTACATATAAGTTCAATAATCTTGAACGTGACATTAAACTCCAACTCACCTCACTGTCTAGTCTGCAATGTAATCCCTCTGTAAACATGTACATATTTCCTCAAGATGCGGCTGTGATACTGTGTTTTATCAATGTTATATGTTACCATATGAATCATGTTATTGTTGTACTATTCTCCAAGTTCCTATAGCACATAGCTCATTCGTTAGAGAGTACCCCTTTTATCAACCTACAGAATATACAAGAAATGTTATTGCGTTATGTTCTAAGTAACACCATGAATAAAATGAACAAAGTTGAAATGTCAGTGAGCTTGCTTCAGTTCTTAATACTCTTGTAAGAGTTAACCAATTGGGAGGACACTATTGGTATAAATTGTGTTCCATTTCTAAACAATCCAACTTTTCTCTGTTTATGTAACTAAAATTTATGAAATATGTGATAAATTACTGTAACAACAATACATAAATCATAATATAAATGATATATGAACAAATGTAATGATGTCTTCTAATGACAATGTGGCTTAGGTTTTATTGTACAGAAAGGATTAATATATTGAAACAAATATAATATTAAGAAGTTGATCTATAAATGGTGATATTGTATTCATCAATAATATTGATATATTAGATATCAATTCTGATTGGCTGCTGCCTTACCACAGCAGACCATATGATTGGTCAGAACAAGTGGAGCTCTTTGAAGACATTATGTGCTGAGATGCGCAAAGATGGGTTTGTGAATAGAGTTAAGTAGTTCTGGATAGGATTGGACAAAGGGTAAGAACAATCATTCTTTTGTTTTAGCTGTGATATGGAACTATTATCATTTATTTTTTTGGTTTCACATCTTTCTGTTTTATGTACATATGTACAAGACACAATCTATGTCTATAAGCACTAATGTATGATACAATTGTAACAATCATTTCTAAGACAGTTGTATGTTTTCTAATTTTAATAACTTGTTTTGTTATTTTCAACACCATGTGGATCCTTTTGTCCCAAACACCAACATGACCTGGGGAGCAAGCCAAGGTTTTCTCCATCCATTGTTGAAAGTTTGTTAAACTGAGTGTTCCAAGTAAGAATATGCAGCAGTGTGGGCCAAAAAACGTATATACCGTTATACACAGTGTTCAAAATTAGCACAAAAGTCAAGGGGGCTTTGTCATAATTCTAATGTTAAGATTTTTTTAATTTTAGGGGCTCCCTAGTCAAAATACTGTAGAAAACCTCAAGGATTCCAAGACCCCCCTTAGTATTGAACACTTAATATATAATTTATTTTGTCTCATTGTGCTGTCACTCGTTCCGATTCATAAAGGCTCACTTCTGATGTCACTATATATAATGGACTGTACCTTTCAACGTCACTCTATGTAATGGACTGTACAGTTGATGTGAAGTGTACAGTTTGTGTCAGTTTCTGTGTACATGACACCACCAGTACAAGCAATCATGATACAGAAGGACCTTGTTAATCTGGAGCCTGTTAAACTGGACACCCTGTCTGGATTAACAGGGTTTCTGATATTCGTGTTTAACTGGACACTGTTCTCATTGTCAGTCTCCCAATGTACAGGGGTATTAGGGTGGTTGATGTGTCTGCTTGGCACTCCAGAGACACTAGATAAAATGTGCCATGTTTGGTGTCTTTTCCACCCCACCCCCCGCCACACTACCCCCTTTGAGATGTGTGGTTGTGGTGTAACATGCTAACTCTCGTGGAATAGCTGGAATATTGCTGAGTGCGGCGTTAAACCACAAACAAACATTACGGCCCAGTCATCAATGGCACTGCATTTAAGATAAAAAAAACTGGTTTGGATACCCGATTCACCCCGATTATGTTTATAGGTTTGTCAGCACCATACCGTGCTCCTGGATTTGACCGAAGTGGTAAACGTCTGAGACCTGCATCACTTGGGGCTTTCCTCCCACATGAAGTGGACACGCCATGATATAACTGAAATACTATTCAAAGCAGCTTCAACCAAACTCCCTCACTCACCCAATGTAGTGAAATTTTGAATAAGTGAGGGGCACGGGTGGCCCAGTCGTCTAAGGCGCCGCGATTCGCTGTGCAGAGTTGCGTCCCCTGGACACGCCAGAAACCTATGGTTGTGGGTTCGAATCCCGGTTCACCCCGATTATGTTTCTAGGTTTGTCAGCACCATACCCGTGCTCGTGGGTTTCACCGAAGTGGTAAACGTCTAAGACCTGCATCATTTGGGGCTTTCCTCCCACATTAAGCTGACACGCCATGATATAACTGGAATAATGTTAAAAGCGGCGTCAAACCCAACTCACTCACTCACTTGAATAAGTGAGATGAGAAAGTCTGGTCTTACAAAAATAGCAAAGATACTATTTTTCATTTCTTGATTACCTTTCGAGTGCAATATTGATGGGGCATAATAGACAGATAGTGTGTAGAATGTAGTATCTTTATTGAATACAGTGACATGGAGGCAGTCATCAGTGTGCTACTGGTCTCTGCTTGTGTGTAGTTATATAGAAGCATCGACCTGAAATGTTTTCCTGGAAATATGATTTTGTACTACTAGAATAAAATGATCTAAGTATATTCCATTGTGATGTTTTTATTTATGGAGTCTGTTACTTTCTAATTGTCAACACATGGTCGACAACATCCCGTAAAGATCTGGGGAAAAGAATAAGTCTTCAGCAACCCGTGCTTGCTGTGCTTGCTGTAAAAGGAGACTATGCTTGTCGTAAGAGGCGACTATGCTTGTCGTAAGAGGCGACTAACAGGATCTGCATGTCATCGTATCCCAATTGTGTGTATTGATGCTCATGATGTCAATCACTGGGTTTTCAGTCTAGACTCGATTATTTACAGACAGCTGTCATATATCTGGAATATTGCTGAGTGCGGCGTTAAACAACAAATAAACAAACATGGTCTGACAATGAAAGGGATTGTTGTCAGAACAGACAAACTTCGAAACGACCATGGATGTGAAAGTCAAAATGCCTGTAGAAAAAAATCTGACTACTTTTCTCCAACAGTCAATGAACACGTAGTTAGGCCACACATATTTCATTTTTCATTTCACGGGCCTGTAGCACCAACTGAAAAGCAGCCGTTCAAGAAATAAATCAAACATAAAACTATTTATTTTTCTTATGTCTCGCGCTTGTTTTATAGACCCTCCTTTACAATTTAAAATGTTGTATATAAATTCCATGTCTACATCATCAGTATTGATTCATCAGGCCAGCTGCAGTTTTAACTCCACAGCAGAATGTCTTTCATATAAAAAAATAAAAAAAGAAAGAAACAACTGACGCCTATTTTTATTTTTATTTTTTTATTTCGACCAACCTTGTGTGGAAAACCTGGAATACGTCAGTGAAACAAAATTTAAAACGTGTGGCCTTATGCTTTGATGTACTGGAAATACTTTTGAGAGCACCTGTTAGGATTCTCTGTTTGGACTGATCTCCGACAATCTATGCTTGGCACAAGAGGTAACTTAATGGATCAGGTTGTTAGACTCTGTGATTGGTTGATGGTGTGGATCACAATATTAAACGGTGACTATGCTTGTCGACTGACGGGATCAAGTGGTCAGGCTAGCTGACTTGGTTCATGCAGGTCATCGTATCCAAATTGCGTGGATCGATGCTCATGATATTAATCACCGGATTATCTGGTCCAGACTCGATTATTTACAGACCGCCGTCATATAGCTGGAATATTGCAGAGTGCGGCGTTAAACAACAAACCAACCTACAAACCACAATATAAATCACTTGATTGTCTGTGCCATACTGGATTATTTACAGGCAGCTGTAGGGCCACAGGTGGCGCCGTTGACTAAGGGCTTGGGTGGTCAGGCTCGTTGACTTGGTGGATGCATGTCATCGTATCCCAATTGTGTACATCCATGCTTATGTCAATCACTGGATTGTCTGGTCGAAGCTCGATTATTTACAGTAAGTGATTTAAAACTTAATGTCGCATTGGCATTATTTCAGCCATATATCAGCTACAAATGTTTTACAGATTGTCGTCATATGGCTGGAAAATTGTTGCGTGTGGCGTTAAACAACAAACAAACGAACAAACAGTCGTCCGAGGAACCACAATTTGCTGTGAAGAGTTGCGTCCCTTGCGAACCCTGTGATCATGGCAAGTTTAATTTCTTCATGCTACCTTCTGTTTCGGCAGACGTGGTGAACTGTGGGCCCCTAATGTGATGTGACGGTCAGATTACTCCATGAGCAATATAAATTTTTCACAAAATCATAATTATTAATGAATAGTCACGTAAATGATGGTTAGATTGTCCGAATGGTTGTATCCACTATCGTGACCCAATGGACATCCACAGCAGATGTGCTAAACTGGTTTTATGTTGTTGTTGTTGTTGGTTTGTTGTTTAACGCCGCACTCAGCAGTATGCCAGCTATTTGACGGCGGTCTGTAAATAATCGAGTCTGGACCAGACAATCCAGTGATTGATATCATGAGCATCGATCCACGCAATTGGGATCGATGACATGCATCAACCAAGTCAGCGAGCCTGATCACCCGATCCCGTTAGTCGCCTTTTACGACAAGCATAGTCACCTTTCTACGGCAAGCATGGGTTGCTGAAGACTTATTCTAACCCTGATCTTCACGGGTCCTGGTTTATGTACACAGGAGGCCAGTCAACACATGAACTCCTCGCTGTCATATCTGGACTATCAGTGCAATATTCCAGCTGTTGGTGGTGGTCTTTAAAATAAGCAAGTCATGTAGTCCTTGACGAGCTCGTGTCGGCTGCATGGTTCTTCCGGGCACCTACAAACACAGACATAGCTGACAAGGTAGACACAATTTTATGGATAACAACTTCTTTAATACTGTAAAAAGCGACGTTTCGGTATAGATACTTATACTGTTGTGATTATTGCTCCCATCCGCCTACTATGAACTCATCAAGCAATAATCACTTATCCTGTTTATTGGCTTCGTGTCCCTATTGGCTTCCACCTATGTGTTCTCGTGTTGTGACAGCATCATCCCTTTAATGTCACACCTACCAATGTTATCCCACTCATATATGCAATTGTTGTTACTGTTTATCCTCTACTGTTAATTCTCGACCTACTATATATATTCTGTACTATGTCCCCCATTCAGTCTTGCTTGACAACGGTATAAGGATCTATACCGAAACGTCGCTTTTTACAGAATTAAAGAAGTTGTTATCCATAAAATTGTGTCTTCCTTGTCATCCGTCAACTTCTAAGTAATGCCTATCAAACAATTTACAGACACAGCTGTTAAAACCTCACTGTCCCATCACTATCAGTGGTTTGTTTGTTTGTTTGTTTGTTTGTTGTGTAATGCCACACTCAGCAATATTCCAGTTATATTACGGTCTGGACCAGACAGACAATCCAGTCATTGACATCATGAGCATCCATCTAAGTAATTGGAATACGATGACATGACAACCACGTCAGCGAGCCCGAGTACCCGATCCGTTAGTCGCCTCTTACCACAAGTATGGGTTACAGAACGCTAATCCAAAACATGATATTCACAAGGGATTCAGCTATACCGAAATTAAGGCACTGCCTCACGAAAAGACTGGTGGACTCGCCTTTTATTGTCTTGCCCTGGAAATGGGTCACTGGTTCTCTATCTATCACAATGTAGATTTGACCTTGAAGATAAGACGTCCACTGGAAAATCCAGCTGCACTGTAACTCGGTTAAACAGCGATCGACTGTTGACAGAAGAACACAACATTCTAAGAAGCAGCAATGTGGGTTACCTGCCTCCTTCTCCTCCCGACTGTTTGGGGAGGAACGGAACTTTTGAAGAACGCCGACTTTGAGAACTCCCACTTCAGCAGCTCCGATTGGTTTCCCGTGTCCGGCACCATCGCTGCAACATCGGACGCCTACCACGGCCACACAGCGGCTAAAATTACTAAACGGTTAACTTTATATATTTTTTATTTTATAGACACATTCTCACACAAAAGTAGTGTTGAGGTTTTAACATCAGGGGTGATATGCCACCGCACTCTTGTATATCGTGTCAATGATAGGTGAGGTGAGGTGAAATTGGGTTTACGTCGCGTCCAAGATTATTGCACTTATATAGCGACGTGCATGCACGTGTGTGTGTGTGTGTGTGTGTGTGGCTGCTTGTACTAGGCCGGACTGATGCCGATTTATAGTGCTAGCCCACTGAGATACCATGCCGCAGTTTAACATAAATACCCCACTCAGACACAGTATACTGACTCCGAGCCGACCAGTCCTTGTTTTACCCCCTTTATGCCGAGCGCCAGACAGGGTAACAACAAGTACCATCTTTTAACGTCTTTTCGTATGACGCGGCCGGGGATCGAACCCCGGACCTTCCACTCTCCGGGCGGACGCTCTACCACTAGACCACGGAGGCGGTCGTGTCAATGAAAGGAAAATAATAATGTAATCGGAAAATGTGTGGTCATACGTTCTCAATGTGTACCTATTCTTTGATGAAGTGGATAGTGCCTCTGCCCGGAGATCGGAAGATCGGTGGTTAAACCAAAAAACGTGAAATAATGGTGCTTGTTATTACCCTGCCTGGCGCTCGGCATGAAGGGGATAAAAACAAGGACTGTTTTACTCACAGTCAGCATAATAACGTTACATAATAGTACTTGTTATTACCCTGCCTGGCGCTCGGCATGAAGGGGATTAAACAAGGACTGTTCTACACACAGTCAGCATAATAACGTTAAATAATGGTACTTGTTATTACCCTTCCTGGCGCTCGGCATGAAGGGGATAAAACAAGGACTGTTCTACTCAGAGTCAGCATAGTGGGGTATCAATGTTAAACTCCATTTCACCTCACATCATGTCTTTTTGCACATTGTTTTGCAAGATACTCTTATAATTTCAAGAGTTCATGACATTATCACGTTCTTATCCCAGACCTTCCCCCTTTTCAGATATCACGACTACGGCGGACTGGAGCAGTACGTCACTGTCAAGGGAGGTCACCGCTACTACTTCCGGGCACACGTCAAGTTACTCAATTATGCCCCAGGAAAAGATAAACAGACAGTGATCGTAGGACTTGCCGCCAAGGAGAGAAGCTCCGGTGAGATGTCAAGAACAACCCCATAACGCTCAAATTATTACAGCGACGAAAACTCTAGCAGATCTAGAGATCAGGGTTCCGTTCCACAAAGCCGGGCGGTCGGGTAGCCTAGTGGTTAAAGCGTTCGCTCGTCACGCCGAAGACCCGGGTTCGATTCCCGACATGGGTACAATTTGTGAAGCCCATTTCTGGTGTCCCCCGCCGTGATATTACTGGAATATTGCTAAAAGCGGCGTAAAACCATACTCACTCACTCACCACAAAGCCGGCCTGAACTATAGTTCAGGGGCTGTGATCGTTGTACAAAGCGAATCGTTGCATAATAGACCAAGTCTCAACCTCCAAATCTCTGTGCCATGACCACGCAGTACTAATTCGGCGATCTCCCTGTCTCATCATCTGGAGATCAAAACCATGACATGGATGACTAATTCAGATACCCGTGAAGATCCGGGTTATAAAAGGTCTTCAGCAACCAATGTTTGCCGTAAAAGGCGACTATGGTTGTCGTAAGAGGCGTCTAACGGGATCGGGTGATCAGGCTCGCTGACTTGATTGATGCACGAGGTAACCCAATAACGTGGATCGATGCTCATGATGTCAATCACTGGATTTACTAGTCCAGACTCGATTATGTACAGACAGCCGTCATATCGCCCGGATGTTGCTGAGTGTGGCGTTAAACAACATACAAACAAACTAATTCAGAGATCTTTCTCAACTTCAAGATCTCTAAACCATGACATACATCACGAACTAGGGGGCACGGGGGGGGGGGGGGGGGGGGGGAAGTCGTCTAAGGCGTCGCGATTCGCTGTGCAGAGTTGCGTCCCTTGGGCACACCAGAAACCTATGATTGTGGGTTTGAATCCCGGTTCGCCCTGATTATGTTTCTAGGTTTGTCAGCACTATACCCGTGCTCGTGGGTTTCACCGAAGTGGTAAACGTCTGAGACCTGCATCACTTCGGGCTTTCCTCCCACATTAAGCTGACACGCCGTGATATAACTGGAATACTGTTAAAAGCGGCGTTATACCCAACTCACTCACACTCACATCACGAACTCAGAGGTCTGTAATCTCAACATCTAGATCGTAAATCATGATCTCCGCATCTCAACACCTACCATTCTATTTTGGCGACTTCCAGGCAAGACGAACTACCTTACCTTTGGCGTTACACCGTACATGCAGACGAACCAGTGGCATATCATTGGAGGGGACACCAAAATAACGAATGTCGGTATGTATGTGACCCATGAAGATCCGGGGTAGACTAGGTCTTCATCCACCCATGCTTGCCGTGCAAGGCGACCATATTCTTGTAAGAGGCGACTAACGGGACCGGGTGGTCAGGCGCGCTGACTTAAAAGATGCATGTCGTATCCCAATTGCGTAGAGCGATGCTCATGATGTCAATCACTGGATTGTTTGGTCCAGACTCGATTACCAACAGTCCGCCGTCATATAGCTGGAATATTGCTGAGTGTGGCATTAAACAACAAACAAACAAACAAACAATGGCAAGTATGTGCCCTGTACTGTAAACATCGAATAGTCCCCCAGCCAGCTATGCTTGTGTGAAGGCGACTAAATGGATCGGTCATTACTATAGCCTGCCGACACCTTTCATTTTTATCGTTCACAAATTATCGGAAAGGTATGTTGTTTCACACTTCTTCAGCATGGACTTGGATAGAAATATATTTTAAGCTATCGACTCCATGGTCATGTGGATCGCTGTCGCGATTATGAACATATCTGACGTGGAATCATTGATGCGTTCTTCGTGTTTTCGAAGTGTCAATTTGAATCACCCAGTTTAACAAAATGAAATGACAATGTTTGAACGTAAAGCAGACTTATTGTTTGGCAAAATATCTATGGAAAAGTATGAAGATAAAATAATCTTACGACAGGTATGGGGCTATCTTAGATTTACGACAAACTTAAGATATCTCAGGGCTACGATAGTTTCGAAAATAGGCTACGATAGCCTACGATTTCCTTACGATAACTTTCCGATAATTTTAGGACTACGACTCATAGGACTCGTTTCGAAAATCTAGGCCCTTGGGCCACGTTCCACAAAGCAATCGTAGCACTAAGACGATCGTAACTCCCATACTTTAACATAGACTCACAACAGAAGCTATTAATTACAGGCATGCCGTCTAACTGCTGAAATATTGCCGAGTGCGGCGTTAAACAACGAACACAATTACTGAAATTATGGTTAAGCCAAGCTCAACATCCAGGTAAAAATGATTCATTCCCGCAAAAAACCAACACTCGGATGCGTTAGGTTGTGACATGAATGAATATGAGTGATCGCACAGTTCAGAATTTTGGGTCAAGATACACTACCGTCCACGTGTCTGTCTGCTGTATGATATGCGTATATACGTATCCTATAAGCAAAGGCAACCTACATATTAATAGTATTAACATATTTTGACTTTTCACAAATACAGTAAACTACGGTTATAACGAACTCAAACGGACCACTAATTTTAGTTCGCAATAACCGTAGTTCGTTGTAAGCATACATACAGCATATATGGCCGGGGCAAAAAAATATGTTCGTTATATCCGTCAGTTCGTTATAAGCGTGTTCGTTATAAACGTAGTTTACTGTAACCCTTTTAGCACTAACAGTAGCACTGCGTTCCAGTAAGTAAGTTATACCCACATCATTGAATTGAATGATAACAGATATATCTGAGGCCCGTTTGTACATCCGACCTGACGACCAGAGCGTGGACTTCATCGTGGACTACGCCAGTCTACAGGAAGTTCCCCCTCTGTCTGGTTTCCCCGGCGACGCCAACAAGAGGATTGACACTATTCGGAAAGGCGAACTAACCATCAGGTAGATGTAGTACAACAATTTTAAGTCTGAGAACAGGCTTATGTGGAGATACACATCGATAGACAAATGAAATTTGCAATATTCCAGCTAAATGATGGCGGCCTGTAAATAATCGAGCCTGGACCAGACATTCCAGTGGTCGATATTGTTTTGTTTGTTTTTTCTCTAACGCCGCACTCAGCATTATCCAGCTATAGGACGGCGGTCTGTGTTTAATCGAGTCTGGACCAGAAATCCAGTGATTGATATCATGAGCATCCATCCACGCAATTGGATACGATGACATGCATCAACCCGTTAGTCGCCTCTTACGACAAGCATAGTCACCTTTTACGGCAAGCATGGGTTGCTGAAAACCTATTCTACCCCGGATCTTCACGGGTCCTCAAGCGTTCCCCCTCTTCCCGAGGCAAGAGAGTTAACTGACTTTGAAAGTCCAGTTTCCACCCTTGCCGAACTAGGCAGAAATTCCTGGGATCGATGGTAGCGCCACTAGTGGCTACTACGAGTTAGGTCCCTTCTATGCCTCTCCTATTGACCAATCAGATTCCCCCTCTCGTATCAAACAAAATGGCGTCGCCCAATCAAGACGATCTGATCGATAATCAAGATCTGCATTGTGATAAAACGGGTCTTGCATCGTGAAGTGCATCAAATCACGTGAGCACCTTGATGAAAAACATAAAAAGATTTGGAAAATATCTGTTGACAACGAGTTGGCTTTGCAAATGCTTTGCAAATCCTGCAATAGACCGAAATCTGCTGACAGTTTACGAACCGGATTTCGATTTCGGAGCGCGATTTTGATTGGACTATGCATAGATTCGTTAGACCAGCCAAAATGTAACTCCATAATACCAGCCTTGTTCGGCAAGGGTGGAAACTGGACTTTTATGGTCAGTTAACACACTTGCCCCGGGAAGATGAGCGTCCCCGCGCCTGACCATGCGATCCATTTGGTCGCCTCTTTAGACCAACATAGGTTTAGTATTTGGAAAGCAATTCTAAACCGGAATTCCTATGCACGGAGTATATGCTAATGCAACAACTTGGTTTAAACGTAATCACTGAGCGCACATTCCAAGTGATGCTTCGTGCTTCTTGGTTGTCAACACCATGCCCGTGTGCTTGGGTGTCAAGTGGTCAAACTCGTAAGACCCGCATCACTTCGGACTTTCCTCCCACAACCTTTGTTTGTTTTGTTTGTTTGTTGTGACCAGACAATCCAGTGATTCACACCATGAGCATCGATCCACGCAATTGAGATGACTACCCTATTTCGTTAGTCGCCTCTTGCGACAAGCATAGCCGCTTTTTACGGCAAGTATGGGTTGCTGAAGACATATTCTACCCTGGATCTTCACGGGTATCCCCCACACAACAAAACTATAGACATTATTTGTTCATAACGACAGAAGTAATACACACATGAAATATTGTTCCGTTTCCAACAAAGCAAATGTGTCAAAATTAAACACAGAGCGTCAATGCGACTACGCGACATCGTTAACATTTGTCGCGTTTTTGCGCTTTGAATAATATTTGTACAATGCGAAATTTTTCATATATTTGAGGAGACAAATGGTATGTGTAGACAGGCTTCATCCATAGGGTTCGCTTGTACACATGACAATACTCGCACCGCGAGGTCTCGTGGGGGTGGGGTGGGGGGTGGGGGGTGAGAGAGAGTATGCTCGTCGAAGGAATGGAGTACAATGGATCACGTTGTCAGGCTGGACTGATTGCGCGTCGTTAACCTTTTATAATGTTTTCATTCCATGGTTTGCCTGATCCAGACACCAGTACTTACAGGCCGGCGTGATGAAGCATGAATATTGCTGACTGCGGCACAACACAACATACACTTTATTTTTTCCTTTCCCAGGCTGGATGATCACTCAGTGGAACCCAGTGGCCTTAGCGTGGAGGTGAGTCTGAACTCGTCTCAGTTTAGTTCGTATTGTTTTACGCCGCTTTTAGCAATATTCCAGCAATATCAAGGCGTGGGACACCAGAAACGGGTTTCATACATTGTACCCATGTGGGGAATCGAACCCGGGTCTTCGGAGTGACGATCGAATGCTTTAACCACTAGGCTACTCCACCGCCCTCTTCGCAGTTGGACCTGGTGTATCATGAGTGAGTGAGTATGGTTTTACGCCGCTTTTAGCAGTATTTAAGCAATATCACGTCGAAGGACACCAGAAACGGGTTTCATACATTGTACCCATGTGGGGAATCGAAACCGGGTCTTCGGGGGGACGATCGAATGCTTTAACCACTAGGCTACTCCACCGCCCTCTACGCAGTTGGGCCTGGTGTATCATGAGTGAGTGGGTATGGTTTTACGCCACTTTTAGCAATATTCCAGTAATATCACGCGGGGACATCAGAAACACGTCGATCGTTTATGAATCGTATTCAAGCCTTTGGCGTATAGGAATTCTTTAACCACCTGCTAGTACACCGACTCTATAATTAGTGATACCGAATGGATGGAATTCATCTAACTACCTCCAGGATTAGAAGTCGCGAGATGTGATGTGACATTATGTTTGTTTGTTTGATGTTTAACGCCGCGCTCAGCAATATTCCAGCTATATGTCGGCGGTCTGTAAATAATCGGACAAGTGAGGATCTGGGGTAGAATAGGTCTTCAGCAACCCATGCTTGCCGTAAAATGCGACTATGCTTGTCCTAAGAGGCGACTAACAGGATCGGGTGGTCATCCAAATTGCGTGGATCGATGCTCATGATGTAAATCACTGGATTGTCTGGTCCAGACTCAATTATTTACAGACCGTCGTCATATAGCTGGAATATTGCTTGGTGCGGCGTAAAACAACACACACACACCCAAAAATAAAATAAAAAATAAAATAAAAATAAATAAATAAAATGAAAATAATCGAGTTATGGGGTTGCGTAAACATGGGATTACACTTTTTGTGAAGTTGATGAATTCGAGGAAGAACTCAAAACACATAAACACGTAACAGTGTTTCTTCCTGCAACATTTTGTGAAACGGGTGGCCAAGTCGACTAAGGCCACGAAATTCGCTGTACAGAGTTGCAGCCCTTAGTTTCGCAAGAAACCTTTAATTCATGCGAATCCTCTACCTCCATTACATCATTGCAATACATCCTGTATTTTGGCTGCAACCACACTATATGGCGGCTCAACTGGAAACATTCCCCCGTGCGACCTCTTGGTCGGCGGCGTTCTGAAGTTCTTCTGAGCCTTCTTAAACTGGTCGTCCACCAACGATAAGACTGATAGACAGGAGGTAAGTAAGACTTCCACGGAATCCTTCTGCTGCGCAAATTGTATCTCCAACATGCTGTTTGGAAAACCGGAAGCTGGGTCCGGCTGAGGAGTTGTCGGGGTAGTAGGTGTCGTGTTAGACGCCGTGGTCTTGCAAGTCGATGCGTCAGGCAAGGACATGATGGCTTCGACTTTCTTCTCAGCAGCATCATTCCTCTTTAGTGAAGGAGGTAAGCTGTCTTTGAGAGTGGAGTGCAAAACTTGCAACGGGACTCCTCCGTACATAAGTCGTCTCTGCACTTCCGGCAGACATTTTGCGGGTTCCCAGTGACCATGAAACGACGTCGGGGAGGTGACAGACGACGCTGTAACAGTCGAAAAAACACTAATACCAACCCCAGAAAAAAACTCTCGCGTAACCAGCCAGTAGTAATTAAATAACGTTAATACCAACTACTGATATGATACTAGTTAAACAGTGTGGCTACATAACCGAGTGCTGGAGTAAGTTAAAACATAGGAATTGTTGCTAGGGCACACAGGAAAGAAGAGTTGTTTTCCCTCCTTTGCGCATGGAAAAGGTGTGCTATTATGGGAACAACTAGTTGTGTTTAGTTGACAGAGAAGAGGACTTCTGTTGAAAAACGGAAGATTTTGAAACAGTGTGGTTTCAGCCAAAATAAGGCAGTTTGTTAAAAGCGGCGTAATCCCAACTCACTCACTTACAACTGTAACATTTACGATTGCGAAATGTAGCAAGAACGTGCTATATTATATAACCGCTGTAAACTGAAAAGACATCTGTGTGTATATTCCAGGTACAGGAAACGTCAGGCCTGTTCGCCTTCGGGTCAGCTGTGAATGCAGGAGCATTCGTGACCCCCAGCTTTAAAGGGTACCAGGACTACTTCTTCCAGAACTTCAACTGGGCGGTCATTGAAAACGACCTGAAATGGGCAAGCATGGAGAAACAGAGGGTGGGATGATTTTCAAAACTAGATTCTGTTACATAGTTTTAAATCACAAGTCATGTTTCTATAATATAGTCCACGAAAAAATTGTCCAACCGTTCCATAGAAATTAGAAACTATATCTCCTGCCGGTTCGTATTGTTCTCATCATCATCATCATCATCATCATCATCATCATCATCATCATCATCAATATTGTTATTATTACTACTACTACTACTATTATTATTATTATTATTATTATTATTATTATTATTATAGGGCCACATCGACTACAACACTGCAATGAAGGCCATAGATGCTTTGAGGAAACATGGGTATCGTATATTTTTACATATTTATTATAAAGCACACGATTTTAGTTCGTCTGATGTTGTGTCGGGATTGGCTTGGTTTCTAAGCCAGTTGTACAATTTGTGACAACATGGACAATACGGTGACTGAAGTGATGTTTGTTTTTAAACGCCGCACATCAAAATATTCTAGCAATATCACGGCGGGGGACACCAGAGATGGCCTTCACACATTGTACCCATGTCGGGAATCGAACCCGGTCTTCGGCGTGACGAGCGAACGCTTTAACCACTACCCGACCGTCCATGCAAGGTGTCTTTCAGTCAGCGGTCGCTATTATATTCAGGGTCAAAGTTAAAGGTGACAGTATCTTGAATAAATGTTCAATGGTAGTGTAAGTGTATCTACAAGGAGTCTTTCAATCAGCGGTCGCTATTATATTCAGGGTCACAGTTGGAGGTCACAGTAGCTTTAATATATGTTCAATGGTAGTGTAAGCTTATCAACAAGGTGCCTTTCAGTAAGCGATCGCTGTTGTATTCAGGGTCAAAGTTCGAGGACACAATATTTTCTGGGAGTCGAGCTCGCCTGCCTGGGTGGACCACCTGTCCGGACAAGCCCTGCGCCAGGCCATGGAGAAACGCTTGACCGACGTGGTTGGACACTACAAGGGGAAGTAAGTCATCCGGGGTTGGACGCAGCTGTAATGACATATCAGTGTTTACGATGAACATCAATGTAGGTAACCATCATGACAAGCCTACAGTAGAGCCAATGGTAATTCCATCAGCAAATATAATCATCATGAAGCTACTATGATTTGTTTGTTTGTTGTTTAACGCCGCACTCAGCAATATTTCAGCTATATGACGGCGGTCTGTAAATAATCGAGTCTACCCCAGACAATCCAGTGATTGACATCATGAGCATCGATCCACGCAATTGGGATACGATGACATGCATCAACCAAGTCAGCGAGCCTGACCACCCGAATCTGATGGCTGCCTCTTACGACAAGCATACCCCGGACCTTCACGGGTCGAAGCTGTTATGATGGTGCACGCCTATTTATGATGAAACCAAGTACAGTGTCAAACCGTTCAGAGTCAGGTATACGCAATGCTATTGAAACCCAGTACAGTGTAAGACCGTTCAGAGTCAGATGTGCGTCATGCTATTGACACCAAGTACAGTGTAAAACCGCTCAGAGACAGGTATACGTCATGCTATTGAAAACCAGTACAGCGTAAGACCGTTCAGAGACAGACATATGTCATGCTATTGAAACCGCGTACAGTGTAAGACCGTTCAGAGACAGGTATACGTCATGCTATTGACACCCAGTACAGCGTAAAACCGTTCAGAGACAGGCATACGTCATGCTATTAAAACCCAGTACAGTGTGAGACCGTCCAGAGACAGGCATACGTCATGCTATTTGAACCCAATACAGTGTTAACCCGTTCAGAGACAGACATACGTCATGCTGTTGAAACCCAGTACAGCGTAAGACCGTTCAGAGACTGGTATACGCCATGCTATTTGAACCCAATACAGTGTAAAACCGTTCAGAGACAGACATACGTCATGCTATTGAAACCTAGTACAGCGTAAGAGTCAGGTGTACGCCATGCTATTTGAACCAAATACAGTGTAAAACCGTTCAGAGACAGACATACGTCATGCTATTGAAACCTAGTACAGCGTAAGAGTCAGGTGTACGTCATGCTATTGGAATGCAATACAGTGTAAAACCGTTCAGATACAGGCATACGTCATGCTATTGAAACCAAGTACAGTGTAAAACCGCGCAGATACAGGCATATGTCATGCTATTGAAACCCAGTACAGTGTAAGACCGTTCAGAGACAGGCATACGTCATGCTATTGAAACCAAGTAGTGTAAAACCGTTCAGAGACAGGTATACGTCATGCTATTGAAACCCAGTACAGTGTAAAACATTTCATTGGCATTGCCTTCTATCCAAGGTTACTGCACTGGGATGTCGACAATGAGGCTCTGAGCGGCGACACACTCGTCCGCCACTCTGGAGACCGAAATATCACCATGTGGATGTTCAGAGAGGCCCACAAGATCGACCCTAACGTTCAGCTCTTCCTCAACGACCACCAAATTGTTAACTATAACAAACACACTGTGGTAGGTTCACCTACTTACCTCCCACTGCTGTAACCGTATATCAATGCTTCTGCCCTTAAACGTGTTTGATAGTGACTTGTGACTACGGGATCGTGCAACAATATATTTACTTATCGAGTTGGAAACAGGACCGGTAAAAGAAGAGAATATATGGATGTCAAATTCTTTATTATGAGGAACACAGCTAATCACCTATCATCGCCTATGATCTGTTGGCTTCCTTTGCTAGCTTGTACCCTTTGTTATTTTCTACCTTTTGTTATCTTATTCATTTCGTTGTCCTTACCTGTACATACATATGCTTTCTGCCTCATGGCATTCATTCACCTGATGAAGAAGAAAGCATATACTCCGAAGCGTTGTGTTCCTCATAATAAAGAAGTTGACATCCATTTCTTATAAATGGTTGAATTTGAATTTATTATTGTTTCATATCAATTATTTTAAGATGCGAAATTATTTCCACTATTTGGAGTCATATTAGACCGGGGACATTCGAAACGTTGTGTTCCTCATAATAAAGAAGTTGACATCTATAAATTCTCTTCCTTATGTGAATCACTAAATGCCTTCTAAGACCTGATAGGACCGGTAAAGTCAATGGAACTTTGCGTGGTCGAAAATATATATACACATTTTTGAAGGCAAGTATTTTAGGAAGCGAATTAATCTTTATTTTATATAGGATTACGATTTATGGCAGAGTTGTTAATACGGCCTAAAACATGACGTCTTTTGTTTGCGAGATGTTCATTGGTATCGTTTTGTAATTTGAATTCATTATTTGTATGCAAATAATTATCTTTAATTATTTGGATCATTCGTTCTTAATTCGTAACCTTTGACTACTATTGCGTACTTTTGTCCCAAATTTCAACTTAATAATGTTTGACCGAATGGCCACTTATATGCCATACGATGGCAGCCTGTAAAAAACGAGTCTTGACCAGACAATCCTGTGAATCACTTATGTCTTAATCAAATATGGAAGTTGCTTTTGTCTTCTTGTCAATAACCTTGACAAAGTGGTTTGTTGTTTCATGATTGTAAATGTTGTATTTCTGGCTTGTTCTACCTGTCAGGCTTTAGAAGACCAGGCTGTATACTTCAAGGCAGCGGGAGTTCCTGTGGAAGGAATTGGAATACAGAGTCATCTCCACCACCCGATAGACCTGGCGGTGGTCAAGGTAACGTCAGCGATGAAGGTTATAGCGACTCTTGTACTTGTGTGTGTGATAAGAAACAATATGGCCGTGTGTGCAGGTGTCAGCTAAAACAGTGATACATGTAATAACGAACTTTCAGAGGATATTTGCTGTCGCGCTCCTCATCTTCATCCTCCATCACCGTTATCCGCCCCCACACCACCTCTTTTTCCCCCACACACCACCCCCTTTCCTCCCACAAACTCTCGACCCTACCCCCGCCCTTCTCCCACACAAACACCCTTAAAACAGGTAGGCCCATAATCCACATATCCTCCGGTCATCAGCAACCAGTCATACAATATACTAGTATACCACTCAAAAGATACTGAAGTAAAGAACGATTCTTACATATTACTATTGATCTGTCATGACTGATTTACTATAGTCATCTGAAAAATGACCGTTGAAGATCGGGGTTAGAAGAAATCTTCAGCAACCCATGCTTGCCGTAAAAGGCGACTTTGCTTGTCGTAAGAGGCGCCTAACGGTGCGGACGGTCAGGTTCGACGACTTGGTTGATGCATGTCATTGTATCTCAATTGCGTGGATTGATGCTCATGACATCAATCACTGGATTGCCTGGCCCAGAGTCGATTATTTAAAGACCGCCGCCATATAGCGATATTAAACAACAAAGAAGCAAAATATGTGAAAAAACTCAAGTGTGAATTAACTAATTTGACTAGTACATTCGTTACCATTCGTTACTAAGTTACATATATTGCCATATGTTTGTATGTATGACTTAGTAAGGAATACAGGGCACAAGCACACTGTTCCTATAAGACGTCACCTGGTTCTCTAGGCTCGTCTGGACGAGGTGGCCCGGGCTGGACTGCCCATCTGGATCACGGAGCTGACGGTGGAGGGGGTGTCAGAGAAGGACAAGCCACAGATGTTTGACGACCTGCTGCGTCTCTACTTCAGCCACCCGGCAGTCCAGGGGGTCATGCTGTGGGGGTTCTGGAGCCAGAGAATGTCCAGACCTGAGTCAGCTCTGTGTACAGGGTCGGGCTGCACGGTAAGATAGTTCTATTGTAACTACAACACTCGGATGCGTTAGGTTGTGACATGAATGAATATGAGTGATCGCACAGTTCAGAATTTTGGGTCAAGATACACTACCGTCCACGTGTCTGTCTGCTGTATGATATGCGTATATACGTATCCTATAAGCAAAGGCAACCTACATATTAATAGTATTAACATATTTTGACTTTTCACAAATACAGTAAACTACGGTTATAACGAACTCAACGGGACTACTAATTTTAGTTCGTTATAACCGTAGTTCGTTATAAGTACATATACAGCATGACTACAGCAAGTAGTCGGGACCAAAAAGTAAGTTCGTTATATCCGTCAGTTCGTTATAAGCGTGTTCGTTATAACCGTAGTTTACTGTAGTAGATTCCCTGACCCGGGTGGCTGCATCAAATTAAAGACTTCTATTGGACAGGGATATGTCAATCCGGTGCATCGCTGAACCAATAGCATTGATGTCGCGAAATATAGGCGTGCGTGTGAACAAAATATGACCGAATTTTGTACTTTTGTCAGCAACTCTTGGTATCACACTATTTACACATTTCCTTCTGTATTTTCTGCAGGTGAATGACAGCGGCAGACGCGTGAGTCATCTTTTACAAACAGAATGGCGGACGCACGAGACCCACAACATCCGGAAAGGTCAAACAGTCCGCATCCGGGGATTTAAAGGAAACTACAAGTTGCGCGTGAAACACAATGGCCACGTGATCCACGAGGAAAGCTTCTATCTGGGCTACAAGGGGGCGGACCTCAAAGTGTCGCTCACTGGATCCAGTAAGTCTCGAGACCCGTGAAGATTCGGGATAGAATAGGTCTTCAGTAAAAGGCGACAATGCTTGTCGTAAAAGGCGACTAACGGTATCGGGTGGTCAGGCTCGCTGACTTGGTTGATGCAAGTCATCGATCCCAATTGCGTGGATCGATGCTCATGATATCAATCGCTGAATTGTCTGGTCCAGACTCGATTATTTACAGACCGCCCTCATATAGCTGGAATGTTGCTGAGTGCGGCGTTAAACAACACACCAACCAACCAGTAAGTCTCGAGTCATTCCAATCATGACATTTACATATGAATTGTTCAGCTCACCGCGCGGCAAATGATAGAATCACTGTCTGCTTCGCGCTCTGTTGGCGTACGCGATCATCGCCAGTCCTTTACTTGATTGTATACGTTACGTGTTCTATCACCCGTGAATACATACGGCCGCAATGTGGTACAGTGGCGATGTGTGCCTACATCATACTAGTTCTGGTAAGCTAAAGAAATTCGGCCGTTTATATCCCTACTCAGAGCGTAAACTTCGTGATTGCCAGATATTGAAGCAATATGCAGGGCAGATACCTCAAAGCTATGACACTTGTTGACCAATATTGCTGATGTGATCTGAGCTCGGATTGGTCTAAGAACTATGTATGTCCCTCTCGCTGGAACCAAGCCGTGGCTTTATTCGTTTGTTAACAACAGCGACTACACCGCATGGCGGCCGTGTGTATTCACGGGAGATAGAGGTATGTGAGGCCGTGTGTATTCACGGGTGATAGAGGTATTTGAGGCCGTGTGTATTCACGGGTGATAGAGATATGTGAGGCCGTGTGTATTCACGGGTGATAGAGATATGTGAGGCCGTGTGTATTCACGGGTGATAGAGGTATTTGAGGCCGTGTGTATTCACGGGTGATAGAGATATGTGAGGCCGTGTGTATTCACGGGTGATAGAGGTATGTGAGGCCGTGTGTATTCACGGGTGATAGAGGTATTTGAGGCCGTGTGTATTCACGGGTGATAGAGATATGTGAGGCCGTGTGTATTCACGGGTGATAGAGGTATGTGAGGCCGTGTGTATTCACGGGTGATAGAGGTATTTGAGGCCGTGTGTATTCACGGGTGATAGAGATATGTGAGGCCGTGTGTATTCACGGGTGATAGAGGTATTTGAGGCCGTGTGTATTCACGGGTGATAGAGGTATTTGAGGCCGTGTGTATTCACGGGAGATAGAGGTATGTGAGGCCGTGTGTATTCACGGGTGATAGAGGTATTTGAGGCCGTGTGTATTCACGGGTGATAGAGATATGTGAGGCCGTGTGTATTCACGGGTGATAGAGATATGTGAGGCCGTGTGTATTCACGGGTGATAGAGGTATTTGAGGCCGTGTGTATTCACGGGTGATAGAGATATGTGAGGCCGTGTGTATTCACGGGTGATAGAGGTATGTGAGGCCGTGTGTATTCACGGGTGATAGAGGTATTTGAGGCCGTGTGTATTCACGGGTGATAGAGATATGTGAGGCCGTGTGTATTCACGGGTGATAGAGGTATGTGAGGCCGTGTGTATTCACGGGTGATAGAGGTATTTGAGGCCGTGTGTATTCACGGGTGATAGAGATATGTGAGGCCGTGTGTATTCACGGGTGATAGAGGTATGTGAGGTCGTGTGTATTCACGGGTGATAGAGGTATTTGAGGCCGTGTGTATTCATGGGTGATAGAGATATGTGAGGCCGTGTGTATTCACGGGTGATAGAGGTATGTGAGGCCGTGTGTATTCGCGGGTGATAGAGGTATGTGAGGCCGTGTGTATTCATGGGTGATAGAGGTATGTGAGGCCGTGCGTATTCACGACTGATAGAGGTATGTGAGGCCGTGTGTATTCACGGGTGATAGAGGTATGTGAGGCCGTGTGTATTCACGGGTGATAGAGGTATGTGAGGCCGTGTGTATTCGCGGGTGATAGAGGTATGTGAGGCTGTGTGTATTCACGGGTGATAGAGGTGTGTGAGGCCGTGTGTATTCACGGGTGATAGAGGTATGTGAGGCCGTGTGTATTCACGGGTGATAGAGGTATTTGAGGCCGTGTGTATTCACGGGTGATAGAGATATGTGAGGCCGTGTGTATTCACGGGTGATAGAGGTATGTGAGGCTGTGTGTATTCACGGGTGATAGAGGTGTGTGAGGCCGTGTGTATTCACGGGTGATAGAGGTATGTGAGGCCGTGTGTATTCACGGGTGATAGAGGTATGTGAGGCCGTGTGTATTCACGGGTGATAGAGGTATGTGAGGCCGTGTGTATTCGCGGGAGATAGAGGTATGTGAGGCCGTGTGTATTCATGGGTGATAGAGGTATGTGAGGCCGTGTGTATTCACGACTGATAGAGGTATGTGAGGCCGTGTGTATTCACGGGTGATAGAGGTATGTGAGGCCGTGTGTATTCATGGGTGATAGAGGTATGTGAGGCCGTGTGTATTCACGGGTGATAGAGGTATGTGAGGCCGTGTGTATTCATGGGTGATAGAGGTATGTGAGGCCGTGTGTATTCACGGGAGATAGAGGTACGTGAGGCCGTGTGTATTCACGGGTGATAGAGGTATGTGAGGCCGTGTGTATTCATGGGTGATAGAGGTATGTGAGGCCGTGTGTATTCACGGGTGATAGAGGTATGTGAGGCCGTGTGTTTTCATGGGTGATAGAGGTATGTGAGGCCGTGTGTATTCACGGGAGATAGAGGTACGTGAGGCCGTGTGTATTCACGGGTGATAGAGGTATGTGAGGCCGTGTGTATTCATGGGTGATAGAGGTATGTGAGGCCGTGTGTATTCACGGGTGATAGAGGTATGTGAGGCCGTGTGTATTCACGGGTGATAGAGGTATGTGAGGCCGTGTGTATTCACGGGTAACAGAGGTATGTGAGGCTTACATTGTTTTAGTAAAGTACTGATTCTAGTACTTTTTGATCAAAGTGGTACACAAAGTACGTTATTTAGACTTCCGGTTGTCGGATTTCTATTTTTGTGGAAGTCTCGGTGACTGAGTGAATGAGTTAGGTGCCTCACTCTGAGAGTGTGAATTCGAATCCCGGATGGGACTCCAACCAAAAAAGAACATAGAATTTATACTTAACTGAGGAAGTGCAATCCCAAATATAACATGTTACATTTGTCCATGTTCGAAAAGACATTGTGTATTCATGGTGCTCACTGCGCTTCAGACCGCCTCCGTGGTCTAGTGGTAGAGCGTCCGCCCGGAGAGCGGAAGGTCCGGGGTTCGATCCCCGGCCGCGTCATACCAAAAGACGTTAAAAGATGGTACTTGTTGTTACCCTGTCTGGCGTTCGGCATTAAGGGGCTAAAACAAAGGACTGGTCGGCTCGGAGTCAGTATACTGTGTCTGAGTGGGGTATTCATGTTACACTTCGACATGGTATCTCAGTGAGCTAGCGCTATAAATCGGCATCAGTCCGGACTAGTACAAGCAGCCACAAAAACACACACACGTACATGCACGTCGCTAAATAAGTGCAATAATCTTGGACGCGTCGTTAAACCCAATTTCACCTCACCTCACATTGCGCTTCATATGATTGTCGCAAAAGGCGATTGACGGGATCGGGTGGACAGACTCGCTGACTTGGTTGATACATGTCATCGATCCCAATTGCGTGGATCATGACGTCAATCACTGGATTGTCTGGTCCAGACTCGATTATTTACAGACCACCGTCATACAGCTGGAATATTGCTGAGTGCGGCGTTAAACAACAAACCAACCACAATGTGCTTCGTTGTTCATTGCAGATTCCAGCCCACACGTCAGCCAGATTCTGGTGGGGTGAACCACAGCCCGTGCCCCCGAGGGGGAGTTGTACATACTGCTCTGTGTATTTAAGAAATAAACATGGTTACAATGACAAAATGTCAGAGCTGGGATGACCAGCCAAAACCTTTTAGTGTTATTTTTACATAACAAATGTGGCCGAGTGGCCTATGGTGTAGCACTTCCTGTCCCTGTCCGGAGCAACGTGCAGTGGGTTGGAATCTCAGATCAGGATTACCATCCTTAAGTACGCACGCACGCACGCACGCACTCACGCACGCACGCACGCACCGTCGGCACGTACGCACGCGAATATGTGGAAATATAGGCATTGAGCATTGAAAAAATGTGCGTCGCGAACAGGACATCTACAGTAACACTCCTGTGTCAGTGACGCATGTTTGTTTGTTTGTTGTTTAACGACGCACTCCAGTCGATCTACGCAACTGGGATACGATGACATGCATCAACCAAGTCAGCGAGCCTGAAACCCGATCCCATTAGTCGCCTCTTACAAGTTTATCGTCTTTTACGGCAAGCGTGGGTTGCTGAAGACCTATTCTACCCCGGATCTTCACGGGTCTCAAACACCATGTACTCTCACATAGTTTAAAACGGCTTTAAGACAACTTCCTCCCATGCAATATTTGTAGAAACTGAAAACCAGGTCGAAAAGTTACTCTGCGGTTACTCTACTCTCAAGATCGCCAACAACGCGTTTGGATCCCCAAAGAAATGAGTGAGTGAGTGAGTGAGTGAGTGAGTTGGGTTTAACGCCGATTTTAACAGTATTCCGGATAAATATCGCGGCGTGTCAGCTTAATGTCGGAGGAAAGCCCGAAGTGATGAAGGTCTCAGACGTTTACCACTTCGGTGAAACCAACGAGCTCGGGTATGGTGCTGACAAACCTAGAAACATAATCGGGGCGAACTGGGATTCGAACCCACAATCATAGGTTTCTGGCGTGCCCAAGGGACGCAACTCTGCAAAGCGAATCGCGTCGCCTCAGACGACTGGGCCACCCGTGTCCCCCCAAAGAAATGACAGGTATTCGTAAAGCTAATGGTATCATTATGGTTTGTCATAAACAAACACGGCGACTTCTGTCCGCCATAGTATACTACTCAAAAGAAGATAAAGATTTTGTTCATATGACCATAGTTAATCTGTCATGTCGCGTCATAAATTAAATGTAGACATATGAAAAAGTCGGGTGTTCCTTAACTTCTTTCAAGTAGTATATACGTACGCCGAGTTAAGGCTTAGTCTGCCCTGAGACCCAAGAAAATAAATGAAAAAGAAATCCAACACAAGCCAAGAATGATTTGGCAAGTCTAGATTGCTTCAACCCTGACATAAAGCATTGTTTTGAGCTCCACTTGGAATTTATTATTTTATTTTGTAGATAAGTATTGTTGAATATGATAATTTTCTGGGACTAAGTGTTAGTCTAGGTTAAGGCAGTTTAGAAGGTCAAAGCCTCGCGCCTATCTAACGGTAACTGTCAGGTCACGTGTCACGTGTCTCCCTACTGGATAGACTTCATTGACGTGGTTCCAGCAACAATGTGGCTCTTCTGTCTCTTGTTCCTCCCGACTGTTTGGGGAGGAACGGAACTTCTAAAGAACGCCGACTTTGAGAACCCCCACTTCAGCAGCTCCGACTGGAGGGCCATGTCCGGCACCATCGCATCGACGTCCGACGCCTACCACGGCCACACAGCGGCTAAAGTCACTAAAAGGTGGACCCTAATCTTTCATTTTCTGAACATGGCTTTCTGCTTCAAATACACGCAGGAACACTGTCGAGTCCATCTGAGGGAGAAACGACATAATCACACAGCTTGAGCAGACTTGACATTTCTACACCTAAGCAACACTAATACAATGCTATAGCATTAGAATTTAATATGAATTTTCTATCTCTTCCAGCTAAAACGGGGGCAAGGGTGACCCATCCGTGTAAGGCGCCGCAATTCGCTGTGCAGAGTTGCATCCCTTGGGCACGCCAGAAACCTGTGATATTTCGAATCCCGGTTCGCCCCGATTATGTTTCTAGGTTTGTCAGCACCATACCCGTGCACGTGGGTTTCACCGAAGTGGTTAACGTCTGAGACCTGCATCACTTCGGACTTTCCTCCCACATTAAGCTGACACGCCGTGATATAACTGGAATACTGTTAAAAGTGGCGTTAAACAACTCACTCACTCAAGCTAAAACAAAGTGTTGATAGTTTCCATACTGACCCTGAAGCTACTTTTGTCACCTTGTTAATGTTTCCAACCATATTTTTGTGATTGTTACAGCGTTATTTTCTCCATTTTAGCTGTTACATATCAAGCACAAAAACTTTAACGTACCAGATCTTCCTTCCAAATATTAGACCCGTGAAGATTCCGGGGTAGAATAGGTCTTCAGCAACCCATACTTGCCGTAAAAGGTGACTATGCTTGTCGTGAGAGGCGACTAACGGGATCGGGTGGTCAGGCTCGCTGACTTGGTTGATGTATGTCATCGATCCCAATTGCGTGGATCCATGGCCATGATATTAATCACTGGATTGTCTGGTGAAGACTCGATTATTTACAGACCGCCGTCATATAGCTGGAATATTGCTGAGTGCGGCGTTAAACAACAAACCACCCAACCAACCCAAATATTACGTTTCAAATAAGGGGCCGTGGTGTAGTCTAGTAGCGTTCGCTTGTCACACCGAAGATCCGGGTTCTGTCTCCCACCATGAATAAAATCCATTTCTGTTTCCCCCCACCTTAAAATTAGGGGCGCAGAAACATTTCGCTGTATGAACTGGTGACCCGAGCATGCAAACACTTTTAAGACTAGATGTTTAGATGTATTCACCGTTTCAGACACTATGTCCATATTGAATCTTATTAACCGTTTTAATGTTTTTATATCTAATTTTCGTGAACAAAATCTTAACACGTAAGCTCATGACATTACGTTCATACGTGTTATGGGTGAGCATCATCTGTTACCCAATGCAGACTACGTTTCTTGTTAACCATAACTCTCTGTGCAGAATTACGCCCCTTGATCGTGTCTGGATCGGCTGACAGTCGTTTTACCCGTCACTCACTCATTAATGGTAGATAGCTATTAAGAATCTCCTTTTTTCAGAACTCACAGTTACGGCGCACTAGAGCAATACGTCACGGTCAAGAAAGGTCACAGCTACTACTTCCGGGCGCATGTGAAGATACTGAACTATGCGCGAGGAGAAAACACGCAAAGTGTGGCATCAGGGATGGGATTCAAGGAAAGAGGCAGCGGTGACTTAAACGTTTTGCATGATCTAGTTTTCACCCGTAAAAGGTTATACACGTCGACACACGAAAATGTTAATATCAATTACCTATTTCCTTAACAGAGAACGCAAAATGTTTTCTAAGGCCATCTCTGTTATGACCTTGACCTTTACCTTTAGCTGACGTAGCCGTAGTATAGGGCATGTCCCTCGGTTTGTGAACACCTGGTGTTACTATGTTACTTCTACTGTTACAGGCGCTCATGAGCGTAGGTTCTTGAATTTGAAGGTTCCATTTAGTTTCGAGTCTGTTGCCATTGTTGTAATCGTGTCAAGTGCGAACGCACCCCACGCAACCTATCCTTGTAACACCCGACTAAAGACTCGGATATTGGCTGATTGCGTATCATCGTTAACAGCAGGCGTAGATAATTGCTTATGTTATCAGTCATTGTTTTTTTCTGGTCCAGACACGATCTTTTACAGGTCGCCGTTATGTAGCAATGGTGCTAACTGCGGCGTGGCACTGCTTTCAAAACGTCAACTCCGGAGAAAAAAATCAATCTCGATAATCTGCCGGAACAGAATCCATTGGGCGTAAAAGGACTCAATAGGTTTGGTTGTCGTTTATATGAAATGTCTGCACCACAGAAAAACTTGTCTCGATTATCTGCCAGTTCCATTGGACTTGAAAGGCGAAATAGTGATGACAATTATAGGAATGGATAGAAGATAATAGCCAGGCGGCTCCTCCCATAGTGAATGTACTGGTCGGGAGTTAACATTAACCCTTAAACTGCGGGTGACATTGGTCAAGCAGGTCATGCACTCTACATCCGGGAGTCTTTATTCAGGTCAGTAGAACCAAGTAGTTGCCTTGCAGCGGATTAGATGAAAGATGAGCCACCCATCTAAGACTTAAACTAATTAATCTATAAAATAAGAGTTCTTATTTTACTAATTATTTTAAATATTTGACAATATAATCGATAAGGAAGAAATAAGCTTCAGCTGGCAGCACTACAACTCCCTGGCGGAACAAGGGATGGTGGCTGCGTATATCTTCGTCATACACCTGTGGTGTCAACCTGTCTCTACAGCGATCGCATTAAAATGTATCTAGATGACCTAATAAAACACCCAGTAGATTAAATACAAGATATTGGGTAGAATAGGTCTTCAGCAACCCATGCTTGTCGTAAAAGGCGACTATGCTTGTCGTAAAAGGCGACTAACGGGATTGGGTGGTCAGGCTCGCTGACTTGGTTGATGCATTTCATCGATCCCAATTGCGTGGATCAATGCTCATTATATTAATCACCGATGTGCCTGGTCAAGACTCGATTATTTACAGACCGCCGTCATATAGCTGGAATATTGCTGAGTGCGGCGATAAACAACAAACCAACCAACCGACCATCCAGATTAGATACAAATGGCGACTTGAAGATACATCGTAACGCATGTACATCGTATACTAAACGACCTCTTCCTTGTTCTAGTGGATAGATCCCCGGCCGCGTCATGCAAAAAACGTTAAAAGGCGGTGCTTGTTGTTGCCCTGCCTGGCGCTCGGCATTACGGGGATAACACTGTGTCTCGTTGCTATATAAGTACAATCATCTTGAACGCGGGGTTAAACCCCATGTCACCCTACCTTGTATGTTAAACGCGTACTACATGCAGGTGAGGTGAGGTGATATGGGGTTTAACGTCGCGAGCAAGATTGTGTGTGTGTGTGTGTGTGTGTGTGTGTGTGTGTGTGTGTGGCTGCTTGTACTAGTCCGGACTGATGCCGATTTATAGTGCTAGCTCACTGAGATACCATGCTGCAGTTTAACATGAATACCCCACTCAGACACAGTATACTGACTCCGAGCCGACCAGTCCTTGTTTTAGCCCTTAATGCCGAGTGCCAGACAAGGTAACAACAAGTACCATCTTTTAACGTCTTTTGGTATGACTCGGGGCGGACGCTCCACCACTAGACCACGGAGCATTGTACTTCAATCAGTGATGTAATGTATATATGTCATGACACCAGGCAAGATGCACTACCAGGGGTTCGGCGTGACTCCGTTCATACAGACTGGCCAGTGGCACATCATCGGCGGGGATACACTGATCCCGGATGAAGGTAAGATGTAGCTTACCAACTGTATTGTCTTGGTTTTGTCAGATAAAAGACGTATGTTCCAATATGTAAATATTCTGGTGGAGAAACTTTCATCTCAAAAGCCTCAGAGAATGACAAGGTTTTTATTATACCGCCGACGGTAAAGTTCGCTCTGACAATATAAATATTCTAAGGCATTTTTGTGTGTCTAGAACAGAAAGTTGTACAACAATAAATTACCATTTTTGTTTTATCAGCTTACCAAGAAAAAATCAACAATAAGATGATTAAACAAATCCTGTACAATTGATTATTTTATGATTATGATTATTATTTTTCGACCTACCGACCACATATTCCATTATCAAAATTCGCAAACAAAAACTGAAGGCCGACATGACTGTATTGTTTATCATTTATGAATGATAAAAATCAATCAGATTATCCTATTTTATAATGTTATAGATATTACTGATGCGCATGTGTACATCCGACCTGACGACCAGAGCGTGGACTTCATCGTGGACTACGCCAGTCTACAGGAAGTTCCCCCTCTGTCGGGATTCCCCGCCGACGCCAACAAGAGGATTGATACTATTCGGAAAGCTGATATCACGATCAGGTACTACCTTGGTACAGCCAGACCATAAGTTCCGAATCAATACAAACGTGGGATTCGATCCCCTGAAAGGATGAGTGTAGAGTTACTTCATCTATTGACCCCGTACACTTTAAAGTGGTTTTCAGTGACACATCTGCTACATTGGGGGTCAGACTCGGTAACTTGGTTGATTGCGTGTCATCGTATCCTGTTGGCGTGGGACGTTGCTCATTATGTCCATCACTAGTTTGGTCAACACTCGATTATTTACAATCCGCCGTCATATAGCTGGAATAGTGCTGCGTACGGAGTTAAACAACAAAGTATGAAACGTTTTCACAGCTTCATATGTCTAGTCAATATGGTAAATTCAAGTTATTTTTCGTTTCCTGCAGTTAGTGATTTTATATGAACACGTTTACTTTTTCATACGCATGGTACACAGACTTGATGACCATTCAGTAGCCCCAAGCGGTCTAAGTATTGAGGTAAGATGGAACCTCGCTCTTTAGACCTCGCCACCTGAAATAGAATCACGAAATAGAGCGTATATTTTAGCATGCAGCTATCTTCGTTGATTAATAATCACGTTATTTCATGAATCTATTTCAAGTGGGAAGGATTATAGTGATAAATACGGTAAAATTGGTGTTATGTATGGAATACTGTTAGGGGCATTTTCTCGTTATCGCATTCCAACGATTTTGACCTTTGGAAACACGCTAACGGTGCCAAACGTTCGAGAATGCGAGATCGCAAGAATCCGGCTAAATCTCGCGTCCTCGACATTTCAAACATTCATTCAAGGTCAAGATCGCGAGAATGAAAGTCTTAGATCACGAGAATGTCCCTTACAGTATGTCATATTTACTTGCATATGGCAATACCATACCGCTTATGAATTAAATATAACTGCTACTTAATTAATGATATGGAAGACATAAAAGTCGTTCTTGATATAAGGTTAAGTAACACTGCAGTGGAATATGTAAAAAATGATGACAGTTTCAAACAGTTTACAATAGAATTAGAGTTTTCCGACATAGTTTTAAGCTGTGGTGTTTCTGCTGTTTTCTTACTTAACGTCAAGGCATGAGGGTATAACATGTGCGTGACTGGGGTCCCTCTACACAACCTTAACACCATGTTAATCGGAAGTTAAAGCCCAGCTTAAACCGGTACCACGGTTGGTTCGCGCAGCAAGCTCAGCGCTTTCAGCAAGCGGCGACCCAAAACTGCTACAACAGCTGTACCATATCCGGTTGTAATTGTGCATGCATGGCGTACTTAATTACGGATGTAAATAAATATGGAGGCATGTTTTGGGCGGTGATAAGATAACATGAATCTCTTCTGGGGTTAATTTGGCGAGAGTTAATTTATTTTTAAAAAACTGCACGTAGATTACTATTTCTTTTCAATCGATATTGAGAATTAATGAACTGTCGTCCAATCGCAGCCTACAAGAAATCGAACACCGCCTGTCCATTCGTTTGGTAGAGAGGGGCCCAAGTCTAGATATATCTAAAGTTGTGTTGTCGCACAGACCCCTGCTCTTTGGTCTCCACGTCATCTGTTTCACAGACCCAAGAGAATCAGTTAAAAGACGAGTTCAGCGAGAATGAAGCATTGTTCTGGGCTCCATTTATATTTTACTTCTTATTTTTTAGATATATAGTTTCAAATATGATATTTACGGGAATAAATGCTAGTCTAGTCTAGTCTAGTCTAGTCCCTAGAGGCAAGGGTCCCGTTCCACATGGCAATCTTAGCACTACGATTGTCGTAAGTCAATGTTAAAGTATGGTAGTTACGATCGTCTTTGCGCTTCGACTGTCGTAAGTCTATGTTAAAGTACGGGAGTTACGATCGTCGTAGAGCTACGATTGTCGTAAGTCTAAGTTAAAGTATGGTAGTTACGATCGTCTTAGCCCTTCGACTGTCGTAAGTCTATGTTAAAGTACAGGAGTTACGATCGTCTTTGCGCTTCGACTGTCGTAAAAGTCTAATTTAAAGTACAGGAGTTACGATCGTCTTTGCGCTTCGACTGTCGTAAGTCTAATTTAAAGTACAGGAGTTACGATCGTCTTTGCGCTTCGACTGTCGTAAGTCTATGTTAAAGTATGGTAGCTACGATCGTCTTAGCCCTTCGGCTGTCGTAAGTCTAAGTTAAAGTACGGGAATTACGATCGTCGTAGAGCAACGATTGTCGTAAGTCTAAGTTAAAGTATGGTAGTTACGATCGTCTTTGCGCTTCGACTGTCGTATGTTACGATCGTTGTATATTGTCGTAAGTCTATGTTAAAGTATGGGAGTTTAGCGCCTTAGCGCTAAGATCGGTTTGTGGAACGGGGCACAGTTCCATGTGCTTCTTCACTAAATATTTCTGATGATACTGGCAGGTGGTTTTTGAGTGCTTATTTCAACTGTTTAACCACCAAAAACCGAAAAATGTATAATATTTGGATTCTTATACTAATGTTTCAGGCAGAGGAAACCGCCGGTATGTTTGGCTTCGGGGCAGCTATAAATGCATTAGCACTGGTGGACCCGAGCAAGAAGGGCTATCAGGACTTCTTCTACCAGAACTTCAACTGGGCCGTCAATGGAGGCTATCTCAAGTGGAAAACCATGGAACCACACAGAGTGAGCCGACATTGTTATTACTGCATTCCTTTCATTTTGACAACTGTCTGCTTTGAATTTAGCAGTCGTAATTTACTCTCGTTCATTACACTTTTTGACTGAGACAGTTTTGCGCCCAGCTTATAACAATATAGTTGTCCATTTTAGCGTGTCCCGTGCTTATCCATCTCTTTCCATCCTTATCCCATCTCTATTCATCCTTATCCCATTTCTATCCATCCTTATCCCATCTTACCCCGTCTTTATCCCATCTCTATCCATCCTTATCCCATCTTACCCCGTCTTTATCCCATCTCTATCCATCCTTATCCCATCTTACCCCGTCTTTATCCCATCTCTATCCATCCTTATCCCATCTTACCCCGTCTTTATCCATCTCTATTCATCCTTATCCCATCTCTATCCATCCTCATCCCATCTTACCCCGTCTTTATCCCATTTCTATCCATCCTTATCCCATCTTACCCCGTCTTTATCCCATCTCTATCCATCCTTATCCCATCTTACCCCGTCTTTATCCCATTTCTATCCATCCTTATCCCATCTTACCCCGTCTTCATCCCATCTCTATCCATCCTTATCCCATCTTACCCCGTCTTTACCCCACCTCTATCCATCCTTATCCCATCTTACCACGTCTTTATCCCATCTCTATCCATCCTTATCCCATCTTACCCCGTCTTTACCCCACCTCTATCCATCCTTATCCCATCTTACCACGTCTTTATCCCATCTCTATCCATCCTTATCCCATCTTACCCCGTCTTTACCCCACCTCTATCCATCCTTATCCCATCTTACCCCGTCTTTATCCCATCTCTATCCATCTTTATCCCATCCTTATCCTATGAATGGACACGGGTGGGCAAGAAGGTGTCCGATTTCGCTGCGCATAGTTGCACCCCTTAGCCGTGCAGTGATCCGCTGATAGTCAATTCGAACCCTAGTTTCACCTCAATCACAATCCTTGGTCTGTCAGCTACAAGCCTAAGGAGGTGAATAAATGTAAATGTATTCTGGAATAAAATACAATGTCACTGATGCCTCTAGATATATCTGCCTTCTTTATAAAGCAGTGCACTGTTACGGTCACTTCTATATTGTGTTTTATAGGGTCACATTGACTACAACACTGCAATGAAGGCCATAGACGCACTACTGCATCACGGGTACTAATTTCAACTTTAATAATATTACATAGTTCCTTATATTTGCAACGTATAAACCTCTTGCAAGTGCACTTATATTCATACATCTGTCTTTGCGTTGAAGGGGCATGGGTGGCCCAGTCGTCTAAGGCGCCGCGATTCGCTGTGCAGAGTTGTGTCCCTTGGGCACGCCAGAAACCTATGATTGTGGGTTCGAATCCCGGTTCGCCCCGATTATGTTTCTAGGTTTGTCAGCACCATACCCGTGCTCGTGGGTTTCACCGAAGTGGTAAACATCCGAGACCTGCATCACTTCGGGCTTTTCTCCCACATTAAGCTGACACGCCGTGATATAACTGGAATACTGTTAAAAGCGGCGTTAAACCCAACTCACTCACTCACTTTGCGATGAGACTTATTGTTTGAATGAACATTTTATATAACAATATGGAAGTTTGTATGTTTAGCATTTAAGTTAAAGGTCACAATATCTTCAATACATGTTCAATGGCAGTGTAAGTGTATCAACAAGATGTCTTTCAATCACCGGTCGCTGTTGTATTCAGGGTCAAAGTTCGAGGACACAATATCTTCTGGGAGTCGAACTCGCCTGCCTGGGTGGACCATCTGTCCGGACAAGCCCTGCGCCAGGCCATGGAGAAACGCTTGACCGACGTGGTTGGACACTACAAGGGGAAGTAAGTCATCCGGGGTTGGACGCAGCTGTAATGACATATCAGTGTTTATAATGAACATACATGTTCCTGTAGGTAACCATCATGACAGACCTACAGAAGGACTGATAATAATTCCATCAGCAAATATTATCATCACCTTGTAGTTGGAAGCTACTATGATGGTGTACAAAGGATCGTGCCTGTTTATGATGAAACCTACGATCACAGGTATGCAGCTGACTTAACAAGATCATTATTGGGGCGGATGAGGGATTTGGGACCATGTAGGGACCAAACGAACAGTTACTCATCGTAAACATGTTTTTGGCTGACTTTGGATGAACTATATATCTTGTTTGATAACATCTGTGATTTACTTGATTTACATTTGTTAGATGGTGGACAGCAGAAATAATGATATATGTTCATAATTAGGTCTTTGAAAGGCATTTATAAGTGATACACATAAGGAAGAGAATATATGGAAGTCAACTTCTTTATTATGAGGAACACAACGTTTCGGAATATATGCTGACTCCTTCATCAGGTGATGTGTGTGCGTGTGTGTGTTAGTGTGTGTGTTTGCGTGCGTGTGTGTGTTAGCAAGCATTCATCTGTACCAGTTTTCCTTCTAATTACTCTTGAAACAGTAATACTATATATTTCTACATATTCTGTCAATGGTCTCTTACCATTGCAGACCCGTAATCTCCATGAAATGAAGGCAATATATGTCCTGCCACTGAAACCCAGTACAGTGTGAGACCGTTCTGAGACAGGCATACGTCATGCTATTGAAACCCAGTACAGTGTGGGACCGTTCAGAGACAGGCATACGCCATGCTATTGAAACCCAGTACAGTGTGAGACCGTTCAGAGACAGGCATACGTCATGCTATTGAAACCCAGTACAGCGTAAAACATTTCAGAGACAGGCACACGTCATGCTATTGAAACCCAGTACAGCGTAAAACATTTCAGAGACAGGCACACTTCATGCTATTGAAACCCAGTACAGCGTAAAACATTTCAGAGACAGGCATACGTCATGCTATTGAAACCCAGCACAGTGTAAAACATTTCAGAGACAGGCATACGTCATGCTATTGAAACCCAGTACAGCGTAAAACATTTCAGAGACAGGCATTGCCTTCTATCCCAGATTGCAGCACTGGGATGTCGACAATGAGGCTCTGAGCGGAGACACACTCGTCCGCCACTCTGGAGACCGAAATCTCACCATGTGGATGTTCAGAGAGGCCCACAAGATCGACCCGAACGTTCATCTTTTCCTCAACGACCACGAAATTGTTAACTATAACAAACACACTGTGGTAAGGGGTCCTACTTACACCTCCTAGCTGCGGTAACCGTATATATATGTGCTCCTGTCTATAAACGTTTTTGCTATTGACTTGTGGCTACGGGAAGTCCCACAGTGTTTTCCTGATAGATCCCGATCCAAGTCTCAGTCGTACTTTATTTGCTTCAGAATGTGTCGTGATCTAACGAAAATGCAGCATGGTTCATTTCCTAAGACACTCGCCTTTGAAATACGAGTACTTATGTTTTAGATCTTGCAAAAATATATTTACTTATTGAGTTGGAAACAGGGCGGGTAAAGATTGCGCTCAGCAATGCCGGTCAACAATCCGTACCCTCCCGTTGATGCCAACCCGATAAGGCCATGTAAAAATACGTTGTCGAAAATATAAAAATACACTTATTTGAAGGCAAGTATTTTAGGAAGCGAATTGATTTGCAGTTTATATAGGATTACGATCCACGTACACTATAGCATGGTTGTTAATGTGGTATATAACGTCTTTTGTTTGCAAGTTGTTCATTGGTATCGTTTTGTATTTTGAATTCATTATTTGTGAACAGTGAACTTTTTATTTTTTAACCGAATGGTCGCCCATTTGCCACACGACTACGGCCTGTAAGGAATCGAGTCTTGACCAGATAATCCAGTGATAGTGAACCAAAACAGTTTCACGATAGCGCATTTACTCATTTTGTTGAAACGAAAAACGAAATGTTAATTTTGAATTTCGTCTGTTGCGTAAGTGCAGAGATTGTGATGTTTACAAATAAAGAGAAACACTTCAAAAATAAGTTCGTAAAATCAACAAAATCGTGATTTGAGACCTGGCAAATTATGTGACATCGGGAAGGTGGTTTTCCTACTTGATTGAGCTGTAATAGTACTTATTTGTGCGTACAACAAAATCAGAGAGACTAGACCAACGGTAATTAAATTAAAACTAAATATGTCCGGTTTATATGTTTGTGAATCACTTATGACGGGACATTTGTCAAGTATGCAAGTTGCTTTTGTTATCTTATTAAGAACCTTGTAAAAGTGGTTTGTTGTGTCATGATTGTAAATGTTATATTTCTGGCTTTTTCTACCTGTCAGGCTTTAGAAGACCAGGCTGTGTACTTCAAGGCAGCGGGAGTTCCTGTGGGAGGAATAGGAATACAGAGTCACCTCCGCCACCCAATAGACCTGGCGGTGGTCAAGGTAACGTCAGCACTGAAGGTTATAGCGACTCTTGTACTTGTATATGTGCCAAGAAACAATATGGTCGTGTGTGCAGGTGTTGGCTAAAACAGTGATACATTTAATATCGAACTTTCAGAGTACATTTAGCTGTCCACATAGGTGCTCTCCTCCCCACCACTCCTCCTCCTCATCATCATCCATGTCCGTTATCCGCCCAAATACAGCTCCTCCAACACCTCTTTCCCTCCATTCTCACCAGACCCCCCCCCCCCCCCCCCCCCCCCAACACACACACACACACAACTTACAAAAAACAGTTCGGCCCACAATCCACATATCCTCTGATCATCAGTAACCCGCCATACAATATATATTAGTCAAAAGATTCTGAAGTTAGAGAACGCCCGATTCTTTCATACTACTACAGCTGATCTGTGATTTACCGTAGTCACATGAAAAAGGACCCGTAAAATCCGGGTCTTCAGCAACCCATGCTCGTCGTAAGAGGCGACAAACGGGATCGGGTGGTCAGGTTCGCTGCCTTGTTTGATGCATGTCATCGATCCCATTTGCCTGGATATATGCCTATGATGTCAGTCACTGGATTGCCTAGTCCAGAGTCGATTATTTACAGACCGCCGTCATCTAGCGGTGTTAAACAAAAAAGAAACAAAACTCAAGTGTTCATTGACTTATTTTGACTAGTACATTCGTTACTATTCGTTACTAAGCTACATATATTGCCATATGTTTGTGTGTATGACTTAGTAAGGAATACAGGGCACAAGCACACTGTTCCTATAAGACGTCACCTGGTTCTCTAGGCTCGTCTGGACGAGGTGGCCCGGGCTGGACTGCCCATCTGGATCACGGAGCTGACGGTGGAGGGGGTGTCAGAGAAGGACAAGCCACAGATGTTCGACGACCTGCTGCGTCTCTACTTCAGCCACCCGGCAGTCCAGGGGGTCATGCTGTGGGGGTTCTGGAGCAACATAATGTCCAGACCTGAGTCAGCTCTGTGTACAGGGTCGGGCTGCACGGTAATTGTCATATATTTGAGAAGACGACGGCCCTATTAGTCAGAGTGATTGAGTGACTTGCGTTTAAAACTTTGATGAAACCTAAGAGCACGGGTGCATGGTACTGAGTGAGCATTGTTTTACGCCGCTTTTAGCAATATTCCAGCAATACCACGGCGGGGGACATCTAAAATAGGCTTCACACATTGCACCCATGTGGGGAATCGAACCCGGGTCTTCGGCGTGACGGGCGAACACTTTAACCACTAGGCTACCCCACCGCCCGGGTATGGTACTGAGTACTTTGTGATAATTAAGGGTGCAGCTAGGTACATTTAGATCAACACATATGTAATACAGTCAAACACGGCTGTGTCGAAGTTGAAGGGACCTTCGTAAATACTTCGAGTTATCCGAGGTTCGACACAACAGATACATGCTAGATAAAGAAGCAATACGCAGGAACAAAGTTTTACTTCGAGACATCCGTAAGTTCGACACATCAAAGTTCGACTCTACCGTATTTGCCTGTATGAGGAAATGTTCTGAAAGTTTGACCATCCCTTCACATACCCCGAAAGAAATAAAATATTCAGGTATATCTGACAATAATTATTATATGATTTATGGATGCTGACATTTTTCCTCCCTCCGTGATAGCCAAATGAGAGTGGCAAACGTGTCCACCAACTCTTACAAACAGAATGGCGGACGCACGAGAACCACAACATCCAGAAAGGTCAAACAGTCCGCATCCGGGGATTTAAAGGACACTACACGTTGCGCGTGAAGCACAGTGGCCACGTGATCCACGAGGAAAGTTTCTATCTGGGCTACAAGGGGACGGACCTCAAAGTGTCGCTTACTGGATCCAGTAGGTGGATGGTTGCGTTTTCTGTGCAATACTTAAAGCGTGACTTTGCTCAAAGGTCCGTGTTCAGCATGAGCTAAGGCGGTGTATCAGACCCCCGTGGTCCGGGTTAGAATTGGTCTTCAGCAACCCATGCTTGCTGCAAGCGGCGATAATTTGGATCGGGTGGTCAGACCCTCTGACTTGGTCGTCATCGTATCCCAATTGCGTAGATCGATGCTAATACCGTTAGTCACTGGATTGTCGGGTCAAGAATTGATTATTTACAGACGCTATTCCAGCTATATGACGGCGGTCTGTAAATAATCGAGTCCGGACCAGACAATCCAGTGATTAATATCATGAGCATCGATCCACGCAATTGGGATCAATGACATGCATCAACCAAGTCAGCGAGCCTGACTACCCGATCCCGTAAGTAGCCTTTTACGACAAGCATAGTCACCTTTTACGGCAAGCATGGGTTGCTGAAGACCTATTCTACCCGGGAAGCTTCACGGGTATATTCAGCAGTGGGTGAGGTGATGACGTAAATCCTCCTGGGGTATTGTGCAGGAAGCTGAGGCACGTTAAGTCCCCATGATCCAAGGTTTGGTGGCCAAGCTTGGACACTGGTGGCCTATAGTGAGTGAGTGAGTGAGTGAGTTGGGTTTAAGGCCGCTTTTAACAGTATTCCAGTTATGTCCTGGCGTGTCAGCTTAATGTGGGAGGAAAGCCCGAAGTGATGCAGGTCTCAGACGTTTACTACTTCGGTGAAACCCACGAGCACGAGTATGGTGCTGACAAACCTAGAAACATTATCGGGGCGAACTGGGACTAGAACCCACAATTATAGGTTTCTGGCGTGCCCAAGGGACGCAACTCTGCAAAGCGAATAGTGGTGCCTTAGACAACTGGGCACCTGTGCCCCCTGGTGGCCTATTGCCCGTGTTTGAAAATGTATAAAAAATATTGTTATGCCCAAATATGTTTGACAAATTTGTTCTTGCGTATAACTTTTTATTCATAACTCACTTGTGTATATATGAACTAACTTGTTCTCGTCGCAATATGGCTGAAATAATGCCGATGCGACGTTCTAGTGTAACTCGCTCACTCTTGCACCAAAATTGTCGGACATTTAAAATCAGCTTTCCTTCTCAGGCACGAGTCCACATGTGGATCAAATTCTGGTCGGCTGAGGCTGAGGCAGAACAGCATACAGCGTTTGGAAACGCTGTGTATCACTTTTTGTGGCGTAGACCATCAACAAAATATGTTGAATTAAACCTCAAAAACTAAACCACCGTTGTCATTGTCATTTCCAGCAAGTACAATGGTATTGAGTTCACCCTTGGTCCACAATGGGGTCTTCATCACGAAATGGACCCCTTGGTTGGTTGGTTTGTTGTTTTACGCCGCACTCAGCAATATTCCAGCAATATGACGGCGGTCTGTATATAATCCAGTCTGGACCAGACCATCCAGTGTTTGATATCAACCAAGTCAGCGAGCCTGACCATCCGATGCCATTGGTCGCCTTTTACGACAAGCATAGTCGCCTTTTACGACATGGCTTACTGAAGACCTTTTCTAACCCGGTTCTTCGTCCGATTTGTCGCCTCTTGCGACAAGCATAGTCGCCTTATACCGCAAGCATGGGTTGCTGAAGACCTATTCTACTCCGGATCTTCATGGGTAAATGGATCCCTTATTTGTCGTGGGTTCGAATCTCAAATTCGCCCCTAGTGTCAACCAACGTTTATGCCCTTTCCCTTGTTCCTAGATGTCTCTATGAACTGTGTGACATTAAGATGTCGCTCTGTGATGTATCTGAACTAGCGTACACAGGGCGTTATACGCAACTCCCTCACCCACTGGTCTTATGATGCAACTTCTTGTACAGAATGACATGATGCCTCTGTTGTCCCGAAACCCGTGAAGATCCGGGGTAGAATAGGTCTTTGGCAACCCATTCTTGCCGTAAAAGGCGACTATGCTTGTCGTAAGAGGCGACTAGAGGGATCGGGTGGTCAGGCTCGTTGACTTGGTTGATGCATGTCATCGTATCCCAATTGCGTGGATCAATGCTGATGATGTCAATCACGGGATTGTCTGGTCCAGACTCGATCATTTACAGACCGCCGTCATATAGCTGGATGTTGCTGAGTGCGGCGTTAAACAACAAACAAACAAACAAACATCTTACCCCGAAGTTAAGTCTCAGTAAGATACTGACGACAACTCCCTTTGGGATTCCAGGTTAGAATAGGTCCCCATCAACCTATGCTGTCGTAAGAGGCCACCAAAAGGATCAGATAGTATAAAGGCTCTGTGTATTCGTATCCAGAGGGCGTGGATCGTTGCTCATAATACTGATCACCGGATTGTCTTGTCCAGACTCGATTATTAACAGGCCGCGGTCATAAGGCTAGCATATTAATCACTGACGGCGTCATGCGGGCCAGACAATCCATTGACTGACATGCGCATCGATATACGCGATTGAGATACGATGACTTGCATCAACCAAGTCAGCGAGCCTGACTACCCGATCCCGTTAGTCGCCTCTAACAAGTATAGTCGCCTTTTACGACATGGCTCACTGAAGACCTATTCTAACCCGAATCTAGTCACATGTTTAACACAAGAGTGAGTGAGTGAGTTGGGTTTAACGCCGCTTTTAACATTATTCAAGTTATATCACGGCGTGTAAGCTTAATGTGGGAGGAAAGCCCGAAGTGATGCAGGTCTCAGACGTTTACCACTTTGGTGAAACCCACGAGCACGGGTATGGTGCTGACAAACCTAGAAACATAATCGGGGAGGGATTCGAACGCACAATCATAGGTTTCTGGCGTGCCCAAAGGGACGCAACTCTGCACAGCGAATCGCGGCGCCTTAGACGACTGAGCCACCCGTGCCCCCGTTTAACACAAGAAGTGTGCCCACTGCTAGTGGCACAATAGGACAACAATGCAATCTCCGTTCAGCCACATAACAACGTGAACACCGCCCTTTACAAACACAATGGCGCACACATGATACTTAAGACAACAAGACATGTCAGACCGTTCTTAGCAGGAGGTAAAAGGCAATAACTCCATGCGCATGAAACACCATGTCACGTGATACCAGGACCACATCTACAAGACTATCGCAACATGTCGTCAGCATAGGGCCTATATTTCATAACAATTTGTTGTGGAAGAATTGATGTTTCCGTAAAGTGTCCACAAAGAAGACAATATCAGAGTACTGATAACATATTTAATGTTCCTGAAGCCAAGTGAAAACGATTATACTCATGAAGAAAAAATGGTTTGTTGTCAACTATAGGCATGTGCGGACATACACCACTCTAACAGTCTCTTACAGTGAGTGAGTGAGTGAGTGAATCGGGTTTAACGCCGCTTTTAACAGTATTCCAGTTATTACACGGCGTGTCGGCTTAATGTGGGAGGAAAGCCCGAAGTGATGCAGGTCTCAGACATATATGATGCTAGCCAACCTAGAAACATAATCGGGGTGAACCGGGATTCGAACCCACAATTGTAGGTTTCTGGCGTGCCCAACCGAGGCGCCTCAGACGACTGGGCCACCCTCTGATATCGTGCCCCAGCTTACAGTCATGAGACACCCATCTCCATACCACCAGGGGCGGTCGGGTAGCCTAGTGGTTAAAGCGTTCGCTCGTCACGCCGAAGACCCGGGTTCGATTCCCGACATGGGTACAATGTGTGAAGCCCATTTCTGGTGTCCCCCGCCGTGATATTGCTGGAATATTGCTAAAAGCGGCGTAAAACCATACTCACTCACTCCATACCACCAGAGAACCAGTACAAAACAGAAGGTGAAATCAGTGATGACACCAGGTGTTCGTGAGATGTGTGTGTATATATATATATATATATATATATATATATATGTGTGTGTGTGTGTGTGTGTGTGTGTGTGTGTGTGTGTGTGTGTGTGTGTTATATCACGGCGTGTCAGCTTAATCGTGGGAGAAAAGCCCAAAGTGATGCAGGTCTCAGACGTTTACCACTTCGGTGAGACCCACGAGTACAGATATGGTGCCGACAAACCTAGAAACCGGGATTCGAACCCACAATCATAGGTTTCTGATGCGTCCAAGGGACGCAACTCTGCACAGCGAATCGCGGCGCCTTAGACGAGTGGGCCCCCGTTAGCCGACTGAGATTGCATACCGCAGTGTAACATGAATACCCCACTCAGACACAGTATACTTAAAATTGATTTTCATGAGTGAGTGAGTGAGTTTGGGTTTACGCCTCTTTCCAGCAATATCGCGGCGGGGGACACCAGAAATGGACTTTTCACACTGTACCCATGTCAATAATCGAACCCGGGTCTTCGGCCTGAGAAGCTAACGCTTCAACCACTAGGCTACCCGACCGCCGATCTTCAAAAACCCGGACTGCCTCCGTGGTCTAGTGGTAAAGCGTCCGCCCGGTGAGCGGAAGGTCCGGGGTTCGATCCCCGGCCGCGTCATACCAAAAGACGTTAAAAGATGGTACTTGTTGTCTGGTGCTCAGCATTAAGGGGCTAAAACAAGGACTGGTCGGCTCGGAGTCAGTATACTGTGTTTGAGTGGGGTATTCATGTTAAACTGCGGCATGGTATCTCAGTGAGCTAGCACTATAAATCGGCATCAGTCCGGACTAATACAAGCAGCCACACAAACACACACACGTACATGCACGTCGCTATATAAGTGCAATAATCTTGAACGCGACGTTAAACCCCATTTCACCTCACCTCAAAAACCAGTGCTTGTCGTAAGAAGCGACTAACAGGATCGGATGGTCAGGCAGCCTGACTTGGTTGGTCGATGCTCATGATGTCAATCACTGGCTGATCTGGTACAAACTCGACTACTACCGCCTTTGTTTGTATATTGGAGTGCGGCGTTAAATCACAACAAACAAACCAAGCTTCAAGTCCACACGTGAGCCACATTCTAGTCGCTTGAAATGCCAACATAGGCCTCTCGGACGAGGTGTCTATTGCACTACCTAGTTGTAAATAAACAAACAAGATCCCTTTGTAGTATTGCACGTCGTTTACAGTAAACAACAGATTGGTGGGGGTCCGTTGTTTGCGACATTTATTCTTCTAAGCAACAAGTTCCTGACACATCTCCGACCAGGTCAGCCAGCATGTATTGATTTCAGGCGGGCTGTGTCCTTCCCGACATCCTCACACCTCGATGTTTTGGCAGCATCAGATGGTCAATATTGCTTTCTCTGCCATACAAATAGCGTTAAGATTCAGTCTACGGTCTGTACATTGTGGGGCAAAAGCCCGGAACGATCCCAAAGTAAGTTTGTTCAGGTGAATCCCACACGACCAGCCCGGCGCAACGCGGCACAGTTTATAGCTATAAGCAAATTAACCAACGCCCACTGGTATCGAACTCTCAACAAATACAACACTTGGTCGTGGATAAAGCAACGAGCGAAGCTCGGCGCTCATATGACGGAAAGACAGTCGAGCGAGGACTTGATTTTGGATTTACTTTGAACTCTGGGCAAAGGTAGGCGCAATTTGGTTCTTAAGATAACTCGTGACGGCATTCGTCCTTGTCATGAAAATATCTGAGGTCATGAAACCTCAAATTTAATGTATTTTTTGATGTAATGGTTCAAGACATTCGATAACGAACAGTGAGTGAGTGAGTATGGTTTTACGCCACTTTTAGCAATATTCCAGCAATATCACGGCGGGGGACACCAGAAATGGGCTTCACACATTGTACCCATGTCGGGAATCTGACCCGGGTCTTCGGCGTGACGAGCTAACGCTTTAACCACTAGGCTACCTGACCGCCCCCGATAACCAACAAAATAAATCACGAACATCTACACATTCGCATATGTCAAACAGCTATCTACGTTCATCCACAGTGTCAGTTGTGGTAGAAATTGTGGATATACCTGTATGCATGAGTGAGTATAGTTTTACGCCGCTTTTAGCAATATTCCAGCAATATCACGGCGGGGGACACCAGAAATGGGCTTCACATGTCGTGCCTGTGAGGGTTGTATGTATGAACATGCGCCGATGGCCTACATTCTTCAAGAATCATTTAATCAACTCCATTCTTGCTCCTTTTGTTATAGGTTAATTGATAAAAACGTGCATATGTTCTGTGTCAAAAATGTGTATTTAGAAATAGACTAATGATATCATCGTTTTCCCGCTTATTCGTTTTTACATACAGTAAAGTACGGTTATAACGAACTGAAAGGGACTGTTAATTTTAGTTCGTTTTAACCGTAGTCCGTTATAAGCATATATACAGCATAAATACAGCAAATAGTCGGGACCAAAAAAGTAGTTCGTTATATCCGTCAGTTCGTTATAAGCGTGTTCGTTATAACCGTAGTTTACTGAATTGTACTCAGTCGGCTTCAATGGGTAATAGTTTCCAAAGGTAATTTCTTTGAGAGGCATTTAGAAGTTGGAATACTAAGGAAGGAGAGTGAGTGAGTGAATACGGTTTTACGCCGCTTTTAGCAATATTCCAGCAATATCACGGCGGGGGACGCCAGAAATGGGCTTCACACATTGTACCCATGTCGGGAATCGAACCCGGGTCTTCGGCGTGACTAGCGAACGCTTTAACCACTAGGCTACCCGACCGCCCCACTAAGTAAGGAGAAGATTTATGGATGAACAACTTCTTTATTACAATATTACAATTAGGAACGTCGTATCAAACGCATCGTGAACATAACAGACATCTCCGATCCATTGTTACTACATCCCAATTTACTTAGCTGTATAAACACTGCTTCATACCTGTATATATGCTTCTTATCCATACTACAGTAAACTACGTTTATAACGAACATGCTTTTCACGAACTAGCGGATATTACGAACTTAATTTTTTTGGTCCCGGCCATTTGCTGTATAGACGTTGTATACATGCATATAACGAACTACGGTTATAACGAACTAAAACTAGTGGTCCATTTGAGTTCGTTATAACCGTAGTTTACTATATGAACATCACTTGCTTGATACCGGTGTTAGAACCTACACCAAAACGTCACTCCTAATTGTAATAAAGAAGTCGTTCATCCATATATCTTATCCTTACTTTCAAAGGGATGCTTTGTTGCTGCATCCAACAGCAATGCTGTATAATCATTGGATGTATTATCTAACAGTATGTAATGTCTCTCAGCTACAAGTGCTTTCTATAGCGTACGCATCAACATTTTGCGAAGTATCCATCACAGGTATATATAGGAATACCAAGTTGTTTTTTTCATTATAAGTAACCACCCAATAACTCGAACAAAAGGTCGAACCTAATATTCGAACCTCAAATGTCATCCTCCCTGACCATCAAACCCCGCCCCAACCACCCCGCCCCTCGACCCTAGCACCCAGCACCCAGCACCCTAGCACCCCACCACCGCGAACACCGACCCGGACCCCAGACCCCAGCAACCCAGCAACCTGGACCCTAGCACCCCGAACCCCGAACTCCGAACCCCGATCTCAGACCCCAGACCCCAGACCACAGACTCCAGACTCCAGACCACAGACCACAGACCACAGACCCCAGACCACAGACTCCAGACTACAGACCACAGACCACAGACCACCCGGCACGACCCTCTGCTGTTTCACAACTCCTGTTTCACTGAACCCATACTCAACGATTCGCTCGCATTTCTAAAATTTTGATCTAAAAAAATGGAAACAGGTGTGTCCACTTCGTTGACATAATGTATAAAATAAGAGAATCGAAACAATTTCATAACATAATAATTAATGTTCATATTGAGCGTTGCATGTTATCGAGGAGGGACCTGTAACTTTACGAATGAAATACACTGTACTGTTATAAATCCACGTCTCCCAAAGCACCCAAGTGTCTTATCATGTTTGACAACCAGCTCCTCAAAGAAGAGCAATTAGAATTCAGCCCATGGATAAAGCACACACCTTTTATTTGAGCAAAGCAATAATAATATCGCTATGTTGTTTTGGGTAAACAGCGCCTTAACGCGAACAGAGAGCTTACATATGTAACATTCTCCGGGTCACGACAATCTGATCTGTTCGACTGCATAAACATAGCAGAGAGTGACAGTTTTCTCCCGTTTTGTGTTGCTCACGTTTAGAGCTTATGTGTTTCACTGATGACGTTTATTCGCACTAACTGAAATACCACATTTCATAATACATCGAACAAACACTTAAAAATATTCAACCTTTAAGGGCGAAAGGGAAAAAAATCAGTACTGAGTCATTTTGCAGATGCATGTTTAAAAGCATATTTTCCTTTCGAAATAAAATCCTTTTCAACGAGGAACGAATAATCATTGGCGTCTCAAATGTAATAAAAATATACTTTTTTCTTTCAGATGTTATTTGAATAAATCAGCTCTCATTGAAGCCGCGATGAAGCCAATTACGGCGGAGGATATTCGTTATTGCTAGGTAACCAGAGGGTGGAGTTTTACAAGGTGGTGTTTTATGCCCATCCAATAATGTTTATATAGGAAGCGGACGTTCTGTTGAGCCTCTGAAAGATGGATACCTTGTTCTGGTTGGTGGTTGCCAGTGCTACAGGTAAGAATAAGATTTTAAAAACTTGAATAACCTTTAAGAGAGTGCAACTTTGTTTTCGCCTGTGTGTCTATAATTTGATATATTTTAATTTTAACATTATTTTCTGTAGGTTTAAAACATAACCGATGTACATTGTATTCCTCTTTTCAAATACGTGTCTGTAAAATTATCGCCGACGTTTCATCAAATTTTAACCAGAACTTAATTCATGTTTGCATTCTTGTACAGTAAATTAGGGTTATAACGAACTCAAATGGACCACAAGTTTAGGTTCGTTATAACCGCAGTTCGTTATATGCATATATACAACGTCTATACAGCAAATGGCCGGGGCCAAAAATTAAGTTCGTAATATCCGTCAGTTCGTTATAAGCATGTTAGGTATAAACGTAGTTTACTGTATATCTGATGTTTTCTATCATTTGCATTGATTGCTAGAATTATGTAGAACACCATGTCCTTATCAAGAGTTTCCATGTATGATCTTATAGGACTGTTCGATTTCTGGCCATTTAACGTAAAAAAAGGTAACAAAAACAAATGCATTTTCTCTGCATACTGGAATTAGCAGACCGTGATATCAACTGTATTATATTTTGTATTATATATTTTTATGTTAAATAATACTTATCTTATTGCTCGTTTAATGAAAAAGGAGGATATTTGAAGCAATACACAACCATCGGACCCTTAAATTCTATCGAGCCCCTGATACTTAAAGGAGTAGCACAAAAAGAGGTTTCCTCATCTTAAATAACCTTCTCAACTCAACTCGAAAGGGTGCACGGGAATCATGCACGTTGAGACGCCCAACGCTAACACCGTATTCGTGCGTGCGTGATTCCCGTGCACCCTTTCGAGTTGAGTTGATTGGTTCAACTGAGTCATATGGCCCTGTGACGCAGGGGTAGCATTAAGCAGATGGCTGTTTCAATGAATGCTCGTTCCAAAAACGTCGGTACCTTAAATTACCTTCCAGACTATACGTGTATTTGTCACTGTCAAAAAAATGTCGTGTTTTGGAACTATGGAAGTGTGTCATCATGTACAGATACACATGCAGATACAGAATAATACAGATACACCCACTTTGGTGATCCCCGCGGTGATATTGCTAGACTAATACCAAAAGCAGCGTAAAAGCATACTCACTCCCATATGTGTCTATTTGGATAGTCGATGAATATTTAAGGCGTTGTTCGGGTTGGTCGGGTTGCCTAGTGGTTAAAGCGTTCGCTAGTCACGCCGAAGACCCGGGTTCGATTCCCGACATGGGTACAATGTGTGAAGCCCATTTCTGGTGTCCCCCGCCGTGATATTGCTGGAATATTGCTAAACGCGACTTAAAACCATACTCACTCACTCACTCACTTAAGGCGTTGTTCTCTTTTCATGCTTAATTAAGAACTCAGGCCTAATACATTCTATGTGGTTTCAAACCTTAATAATCTCATTGTTGGATCAAATACAAGTTGTCGGTGATCGTCGTCAATATAAATAACAGCTGGGTGTATTGTACACAGTACTGACGTCACTGAGCCAGTCGACGTCATGGGTTCACCTCTGCGACGGCCGGCGGGGGTCGTTCCCTCACCCCGACTACTGCAACCAGTACATCGTGTGCGCCAACGCCAGGATCTACGTCATGAACTGCCCCGTCAGTCTCCACTTCAACGCTGCCCGGGGGTACTGTGACTACCCCAGGAACGCCCGATGCAGGCTCAGCAGGCCAACGACATGTAAGCTTCGAGTGTGTTTATCTATATGAGAATTGTTGACAGATTATAAAGCTAAATTGTGCTGACAGCGCTCTCCACTCACTCATTCACTGACTTAGAATACACGGAGCAAATATTTGAGCCCCTTTACAAACTCCACCTTCACCCACCCGCGAAGATCCGGGACTTCAGCATCCCTTTTGTCGTAAGAGCCGACTAACGGGATCGGGAGATCAGACTCGCTGACTTGGTTGATGCATGTCAAACAAACAAACAAACTACAAATATATATATATATATATATATATATATATATATATATATATATATATCTAACTAAAATATTAAACCCACTCACTCACTGATCGCGTAGTAATCCACCGCTTCCTTTTCAGGTCCGGATCTGATGGTCTGTCCAAACCACGTGATGTACTTCGAGTTCCCTGATTGGTCCAACTGTTCGAGTTTCTACGTGTGCGCAGAAGGCCAATTGGCGAAGAGATCCTGTCCGGGGGGTCTTTTCTATGACTTCATCAACTGGAAATGCACGTACGAGAACGAGGCCACATGCTTCCAGCCCACCAGTTAGACGCCTGCGTTATATCAGAAGTTATAGGATCGGCTGTATAATGTGAACTATTCAAATGCTGCTTGGGAGCTTCTAGTGCGTTTGTTTACTGACTTGAAATGGACTTAAATAGAAATATAAAACGGATTTAGTTGAAATGATTTTCGAAACGTATTGGTGGTCGGGCAAGCATATTTAATTACTCCCCTTTGCCATTGACCTACTGATTTGAATTCGTTACTAAAATTTAGAAAACTTAGACGGGAAGAATCATATTTTTTAATTCCGTTAACCAAGTGATACCACGACGGGGAATCCCCTAACAGCTACTTGTGATTGTGACGATCTTATCGATACCATCTGTTGTATTTTTCAAACTGAAAATAAACCTACAGAAAATACAGATTCTTTAATTGTAATTTAACAGAAAAATAATATGCTCCTCTCCTCCTAGGATTGATCACATTACCTATTGCTATGTCAAATTAGCCTTGCTCCAAGTCTGTACTGAATGATAAATCCATGGGCGTATAGCTACTGTAAGGCTTATGATAAGCAAGTCTATATATGCGGACAGTTCTAATGACACCAGTCTTTTATAGCGACAACTTGTATTAATTTATATAATCATTCTAGAAATTACGATTTTAACTAATTATTATTGCCTAAGAAACTTGTGCAAGTCTAGTTCCAGTAGAAAGTTTGAAGATATACATACATTGTCTTAAATATGAATAGTTACCTATAGACTTAACCACACTAAAATGAAATTGGAACCGATAACGCAGCATGAGGTTTCATTTTAGGAGATAAATCATGTGTGTTTGTTATATAGAAAACTACAGGTAACTAATCAATAACAGAAGGTTTATCACCATTCGATAATAACACAGACAAAACTAACCTCACGCTATGCGTTCAATTCCAAAGTCAATATAGCGCGTTAAATCTACAGGTCAACTAGCTCTACATTGAAAACACTGTTTTTTTTAATCCTAAATAACAACCAAAAATCTCAGAACACACCATGTTTGAATGCAGAACTGTTAATAAGTTTATAGCTATACAAACGGATTATAAAGTTTTTGGTGTTTATGTTTGTATCACCGTCGCGAGAAATAAAACTACTGGCAACGATTCGTATAAAACATCACGAAACATTAAAGACACTATGAAGACTTCCACAGACAGCGGAACCCTGTTAGTTCATTCGTCACCACTCGCCCCTTTCCGTAACCTGCATTCGGCTTGTCCCGGAATAACACGAGTTGGTCACGAATGAATGTTAGTTCGGAAACCACGTCTTCTGGACGATTACCGTTGAGAACGTCCATCAAGATCAAGAGTCGTATACGTATATTCGTTAATCCAGACGCTGGTCAATAAGGAGGACAACTAGATAAACCCAGCTGGCTGAACGGGATTTTATTTCCTTGCTTCTTCTGGTGGAGTGAGTGACTGGGTTGGGTTTTTAACGCCGATTTTAACAGTATTCCAGTTATATCACGGCGTGTCAGCTTAATGTGGGAGAGAAGCCCGAAGTGATGAAGGTCTCGGACGTTTACCACTTCGGTGAAACCAACGAGCACGAGTATGGTGCTGACATACCTAGAAGCATAATCGGGGCGAACCGGGCTTCGAATCCACAATCATAGGTTTCTGGCGTGTCCAAGGGACGCAACTCTGCACAGCGAATCGCGGCGCCTTAGACGACTGGGCCACCCGTGTCCCCTTCTTCTGGTGGAAAAAGACCAGACAAGCCAATGCTACCCTATGGAAGAGTAGGAGTGGTTATAGAGAACAATGATGACACCAGGTGTCTTCGAACAGGTGTCCTGTCCTACGGGTAACATCCATCGTAACACCTGGCCTGGCAACACATTCTACAGTCTCAAAAATCTAAGATGTATTTTGCTTAAACATGCTGCGTAGTGGGATATCAATTGAACTGTCACATTTAACATTGGGCGTTAAGTGAAAACAATAGTTCTTGGCTCTTTCAGACTATTCGCGCAACCAAATATCAATAGTAGAATATCCACTGTCTGACTGATCGCACATCGTGAGTACCTGGACGGGTAACCTGGGCTCAGTTGATGTGCGATCAAAGGTAACATCAAAACATGACACTTTTGTATGGATAGCAACTTTTTTATTCTTGTTCGGCGCTTCGGAGCTACTTCTTGCTCCTTCGTCGAGTGAATGCTCTGTATTTTTGTTGTTGTTGTTGTTGTTTAACGCCGCGCTAAGCAATATTCCAGCTATATGTCGGCGGTCTGTTAATAATCGAGTCTGGACCAGAGAATCTTGTAATTGACATCATGAGCATCGATCCACGCAATTGGGATACAATGACATGCATCAACCAAGTCAGCGAGCCTGACCACCCGATCCCGTTAGTCGCCTCTTACGACAAGCATAGTCGCCTTTTACGGCCAGCATGGGTTGCTGAAGACCTATTCTGTTCCGGAGTACTATATATATATATATATATATATATATATATATATATATATATATATATATATATATATTTTAATGATGTTTACACAACACAACTTGGGATGAAAGTACAAAGATAGCAACATAACGACAAGGCCAATGATAAAGAATGAATGTACAAAGACAGCAACATAATGATGAAGCCGGTGGGAGAGGCTTAAGATATCATTATAACGGCGAAGCAAAATAAATTTGCAACATCAGCCAGTATACGAGAACCATTGCCGAACCGGCAACTTCACGGCAGGCATGACAGAGCGAACACGCATTCATCTCAACAGGGCGCTTTTCCGTGAGCGTTTTTGGAATAATTTGTGGTATTTGTTTCGATAGGACTTTTGCCCTATTTAGTGTTTACACTTACAGTTTACCGCAGCGGAGCAGTGTGTAAGAAAACAGCAATAATGCACCTAATCTGCCCGTGATTAACAGATTGTGTGTTATTCCCGTGACTTAACACCGCCCAGCCACAAACACCTTTATCGACCCTGCAACACTTCCACTTTTGTTGAGTCAAAATTTGCACTGTAATTCTGAGTGTAAAAATACATTACTGCTTTTGAGTGTGCAGCATTGTATGAGTGAATTTCATGTTTACCGTGTGCTAATTGCATTAAGCATATATTATTTTAACCTTCAAGAAGTTGAACAAAAACGCCAAACAGAACTCTGAACGGCTGGCAATACAATCTACAGTTTCCATTGTTTTGGGTATCAGTAAAATAAAGCGACTAAAGCTCTTTCTATAATCGTAATAAATAATTTGTGTTGAAAGCAGAGTCTATTGTACGATTGTATAACAGGTGTTCGTGAAAACCTTCCAACGAGCGCAGCTGTTACAATTTAAGATCATATCATGTCATTATTTAATAATAATAATAAAAATAGTAGTAGTAATAATGATAATGATGATGATGATGATAATAATAATGATGATGATGATAATGATGATGATGATGATGATGATGATGATGATGATGATGATGATAGGGGGATCAGTCAGTTTACTTGATGGGGGGTAGACTTAAAAAACCCTCTCACACAAAACATCATGTCAGACAATAGATTCCATCCTCCCGCTCTTCCCTCAGTCGCTTAATTTTTAAAAGACATAATGGTAGGGTGTGGTTTGATTAATGTGAAGGCTCTTCAGAATAGATAGAATTGTAATGTGCACTTTCGCACGTATCTATTTGTCTGATGATCCTCTTGAGGAGCATGGCGTGACTCATGGTGAAAACTAAGCATTCCACAGTTTTCTTTAAACGAGTCAAGGATGTGGGACATTATCTCAATGTCAATGTTGATTTTGTTGATGGTTCTGTACTGCTGGACGGTACAGAAATGAGTGTCAACCAAGCGAAGTGTATCAAATCGGCCCAGTTTTTCAAGGAGAGGCTATCTGAACGACCACTGCATCGCGTTAATGTGCAGTGTGTTGACTGTGATCAGCAACCATGCAGAGTCCTTCGCTTGAATGAAGTCGGCTTGCCTAAAACGTGAAACAGAAGGCTTTCTGTTTGCTGCTCAGGACCCGTCACTTCCCACTCGAAACCGTCAATGTGTGATTTTGCATCAAAATGTAAATATGAAATGTAGAATACGCAATGAATTTAATAATACTGTCCAACCCATTTCCAGTGGATGCTTGGGCTCAAACACAGTATCTTAAACGACATGATGGAGTGGCTCGATCCTTTTGTCACCTCCTTCGACATGCTTGTGGTTTTGACACAGACGTCCATCCATGGTACGACCCAGAATATGTTGAGGGAAATGATAAATACAAAATTCCTTGGAATAAGCCTCAGACCTATACAGGCAAATAAACCTGATTTTGTCCTTTTCATAGATGCAGTGAAATCATTTATATCATTAAATTTTCTTTCCCTTTTGACACTTATGGATTCAGGAAAACATGGCAAATATGCGCACCTCACTTTCGAAATGTCACGCTTGCATACCAAGTACCAAGTTGTCCGACTCCCCATTGTTCTCGGTGCCTAAGGTTTGGTACCTGCCAATCTGCTGACTGACACTGGGAGAGTACCCGGGTTTGCTACCAGGAATACAGCCCTTCTGACAATTTGGGTAATGCAGAAGGCTGCAGTGTTGGAGTCTTCACGTTTTCCGAAAAGTTCTGTGTGGGTTTGACTAGGCAGCACTTCCTTGGAGAAGTCCCATTCGCTGTCTGGGCTGCGTGTAGAGGGGACAAGGGCCCCGAGCCGATGATGAGCCTAACCAGCCTGACTGTGCCAGGATCACCCAAACCAAAATACTTCTACATGATTTTATTGTTTAAATTTATTTTTTAAGTGAAACGTTTTAAAAAAATTATCAAAATACACAGCTGCTCATATTTGACATTTTATCTACAATATTTCAATATTTTAAACATGGTAGCAGGCATGAGGTTGCAAATTCATTTTTACCCCATTTTCCAGTGAACCAATTTATTTGTTTACCACTATTACCCGGGCACAAATTTTTGTTTCGGGAATGAGTGATGGTTTAATTGACATAATCAAATTTAACAACACTTCTTTCAAATTACAATAACATACCCCCCAAAACGGTATATACTTTTTTTTGCCCCCTGAAGAAGCCTGGTCGAGTTCGTCATCGACTCGAGAGGGTGATATTACGCCGTCGAGAATCGGTTTCACACATTCTTCATCTTGGATGGGATGCTTCCCAAACGCCAGCTCGGATTTCACTGGTTGAAGAGGTTTTCTGTAAAACTGAAAATGTACATTCACGAATATAATGTACCCATCTACTACTACATTAAACAACACGGGGGCACGTAAGACCTATTAACTAAGGCGCCGTAGTTCATTGTGTAGAGTTGCTTCTCCTAGTCTTACCAAGATCCGCTAATCGGGAGGCCGAATTCAAG